GTGTGTGTGTGTGTGTGTGTGTGGTACAGGTGTGTATGCAGTACCTGAAGGACACTAACATGCTGTTTGTGGGGGGGCTGATGGTGGCCGTGGCCGTGGAGCACTGGAACCTCCATAAACGCATCGCCCTCAGAGTGCTGCTGCTGGTCGGCGTGCGACCCGCCCTGTGAGTCCTGGTCTCTGTGGAACCTCATGATGAGAGAGCTCAGCAAATGTTTCAGAATAAAAGCACAAGATGAACGTGTCACCACTCTGTGGACTGAAGCATCACCATGTTTCCACCCCCTCCTCTTCCCCTGTGTCCCAGGTTGATGCTGGGGTTCATGGGAGTGACGGCCTTCCTGTCCATGTGGATCAGCAACACGGCCACCACCGCCATGATGGTCCCCATCGTCCAGGCCGTCCTGGACCAGCTCCATAGCAACGTGGACTCTGAACCCTCGACCAAGAGCCAGAGCAGGACTGTGGTTCTGCACCAGGAGCACCAGGAGAAAACCATCAGCGTCCTGCAGACCGCCGCTCTGAGCGTCCCGGACAAAGGTGGTCCTCAACACACCTGGTCATTCACTGTGTAGACTGTGTCAGCAGCCATTTTGTTTTCAGGTTTTCGGTCTGGCTCATTCTCGTGGACACGATGTCTCAGTAACGGCATGACATTCACTTGGTCTCAAGGATGAACTGATTAGATTTTGGTGGCTAAAGGTCAAAGGTCAAGGTCAGTGTGACCTCACAAAACATTTTTAGCCATTACTCAAGACTTCACAGCAATTATGACAAAATTTCAAACAGATGGTTGATATTTTCTCTGACTCTGGATAAACAGGAAGTGACCTGAAACGAGTCTGAGTGGCGGAGGGATACGACCACGAGGAGCTGGTTCTAGTTATTTTAGAGGACAATCGTCGTCACGTTCAAAAGAGTCACTGACAATAAATAAGTTTTCAAATCCACAATTGTCTTTCCAGAACAGGTTCCACTGCCGGCTGAAGTAAATGTGGCTCTTGTGGAGACTAAGCCAATGAAAGTGCTTATTTTCCCCCTCTGTGCTTGTTGGGACATGTCATGGTAATACTCTCTGGTAGTTGGATCCAGTGGGTTTTACTGGCTGACTTCAGATTCTGGTGCAAAAGTGGCTTCATGGATTCATCAAATATGAACCTGTTTCCTCCCAGGTGCGACCGGGTCGATCCAGGCACGAGGCGACTCAGAGAAAACCAGCGACCTGCAGGACACCAACGTGTCCCCTGAGCAGACAGTGATGTCAGAGGGTCACATGGACAAGCAGGAGATCGTCAAACCAACACCACAAGACAAACCTCCTTCAGATGGGACCAGTGCTGGACCTGGTGAGTCCTCAGGGACGTTCATTTATATACGAAGATGGACTGTACTGTCCCGTAGCTGCCATAAAACCTTCGTCCAGCTGAGCAGGAAGACTTATATGTATTGACTTTCAGAGCTGGGACGCCTCTGAAAACCTTTATTGGATGCTGTAACATACGAGACTTCACGTGCACACTTCAAGTCATAACTCTTAAATCTGATCACACAGACACGAAACACATGTTAGATCCAGTATGACTCACACCTTCCAAGCACATGATCATCAGTGATGTCAGTGGTGAGTAAATGTCCATAAAACCTGCAGAACTTTGTTCACAATCCTCAAGTTTTTAAGTTTCCAGTGACAGTCTGTACATGATGCACTGCAAACAGGAACTGATAACATTCAATGGGACAAAATGTGAACAAATAAAGGCTGAAGAACGTTATACTTCCTGTTTACATTCCCCTACAAAAAATAAGGGGAGTTTTATTGTAGTTCCAAAACGTGGAGCATGTTGACTGAGTAGTAACAGGTGATTTAAGGTTAAATTCAATGAGATCTCAGTCAAACATTCATTACCACACCACATGTCTGCAGGAAGTTTCATGTCTGCAAGTTGTTTTTTATAGAAATGAACTCAAAACAACAATAAGGAGGGAAATTAAAAAAACAAACAAAAAAAGTCCAAAAAAATACACTTAAAAAAAGCAATTTTTTTTTTAAAGAAAAATTTGTAAAAATTCAAGAAAAAGTTGTAATATTTTTAGAATAACATCATGGTCTTTGGTAGAGGTTGTAATATTTCAAGAAAAAAAAAAAAATTTGAGGAAAAACGTAATATTTAATGAATAAAATTGTAATATTATGAGAATAAAGTCATAATACTATAAGAAAATGGAGACAGACGTAAGTTCGGCTCTTTATCTGTAGATAAGGAACTAACAGTCTGTAAACGCCTCTGTCGCAGTGGTTGTGTCCGTGGAGAACGTCTGCTGTCAGATGGAGCTGGAGGAGCTGAGCGACGAGGAGGAGGAGAGGAGGAGGATGAGTAAAGGCCTCCTGCTGTGTGTGTGCTACGCTGCCAGCATTGGAGGCATCGCCACTCTGACGGGAACCGGACCGAACCTGGTCCTGATCGGACAGATGAGCCAGTAAGTTCTGATCCACGAACACAGGAAGACCCTGGTGTTCTGATGCTTCCTGACCTCCCTCCTCTGTCTGTGAGTCTGTTTTATAGAAGCAGGATGTCTTATTGTGAAATGAAACTTCCTGTTTGACTTATTGTGAAGGGAAACTTCCTGTCTGTCTTATTCTGAAAGAAGACTTCCTGTCTGGTTCTCTCGCGCAGACTCTTCCCTCAGAATGGGGACGTCATCAACTTCGCGTCCTGGTTTGCGTTTGCCTTCCCCACCATGGTGCTGATGCTGACGTTCGCCTGGTTCTGGCTTCAGTTCCTCTACGTCGGCTGCAAGTGAGTCGCCTCAAGACCAAAACCACTTCCTGTTTGTGAGTCGGGGTGAAGGTCCTGATGACCTGTTGTGTTGCAGCCTGCGGAGGACGTGGGGCTGCGGGGCCATCCAATCAGAGAAGGAGCGAGCGGCGTACGAGGTGATCCGGGACGAGCATCGTCGTCTGGGACCCATGAGTTACGGGGAGGTCAGCGTCCTGGCGCTCTTCGTCCTCATGGTGGCGTTGTGGTTCACCAGAGACCCCCGCTTCATGGACGGCTGGGCCACGCACGTCTTCAACGCCAAGGCCGAGTGAGTCTCACAAGGATTTCCTGAAGTTCCAGACCGTCTGTTCTCTTTGGTCCAGTTTCTGTGGTTCCAGTCTCTGTGGTCCGGTCTCTGTGGTCCGGTTCGCAAGTGGTCCAGGTCTCTGTGGTCGTGTGTCCGGTCCTCAGTGTGTCGTTCTCAGTGGCGGTTCTTTCCGGTCCATTAGTCGCTCAGTGGTTCGCCGTTCCTCAGGTGGTCCGGTCTCAGTGGTCAGCGTCTCTTTGTCTGTGGTCCGGATCTCAGTGAGTACACCGGTCTCAACGGTGTCCGCATTCTCAGTGGCCGGTTCTCATTACAGTGGTCCAGTCTCTGTGGTCCAGTCTCAGTAGGTCTCCGTCTCAGGTGTCCCCAGGTCCTCTGTGGTCCAGTCTCAGTGCGTCAGTCTCTCTACAGGTGGTCCAGTTCAGTTCCAGTTATGTTCCAGTTTCTTCCGATCTCAGTGGTCCAGTTCTCAGGGTCCAGTCCAGTTTCTCAGTGGATCCAGTGCTCAGTGGCTCCAGGTCTCTCTCAGTTTTTGTTCCACGTCTCAGTGGTCCAGTTCTACCCCTTTCTCTCTCAAGGTGGTGTCCAGTCTCCAGTGGTCCAGTTTCTATCTGAGGAGTGGTCCTAGTTCTTTCCATCTACAGTGGTCCCATCGCGTCTCTCAGTGGTTCCATTCTCTCTTTCCCAGTTACCAGGTCCAGTTAGTCGTCGCCAGTTCTCACTGCTCCAGCTCTCTCTAGTTGGTCTCAGTCTCTCTTCAGTGGTCCGGTCCAGTGCGTCATCTTCATGGTTCAGTCCTCAGCTGGGTCCAGTCTCTCGTCTCAGTTGGTCCAGTCTCAGTGCCAGTCCTCTCTCAGTGGATCCGGTCTCAGTGCTTCCGAGTCTCTGTTGGTCTGCGTTCTCAGTGGGTCGCCAGTCTCAGTGCGTCCAGGTCTCAGTGGTCCGGTCTCTCTCTGTAGTAGTTCACCTTTTCTTTCACATTTTGCTCTAAATGTGAAACTTTAAAGTGAAGTAAGCTCTGTTAGAATTAACCCCAAATGTTAGTGTGTGTGTGTGTGTGTGTGTGTGTGTGTGTGTGTGTGTGTGTGTGTGTGTGTGTTGTCTCGCTCGCTCGCTCGCTGCTCGCTCGCTCGCACTCTCACGGTAAAGTGGAAAAAGTTTGGGCAGGAATGAATGAACTCTCAGTTAAACTCAGACGTCGCCTCAGGACAAAAACCTCTGAACCAACAGGAATCAGAGGCGAAGAACAAACAGAGGAAACGTGTCCTGGGTACAAACACTCATGTCACGTCAACAGCTGCAGGTCTGACCTGTGGCACTGGACTGAGATCAGCTGTACGCTTTATTAGGCTGCAGGTCACAGAGGCTGAAACATATCATGACTTTTCAGACGTGATTAAAGTCTTTGATCCAGTGACTCTGGATTATTATTTAAAGAAGCAGATTCATTTAGAATCGGGGTGGAACAGAGCTGCTGCTCTACTCTGGTTTTAATGACACTTGACCCTCCTCCACTTCCTGATGATGTCATCATCTCTGATGTCCCTCCACAATAAAGCTCCAGAAACCAACTTAAAACCAGAGGAAACAGAGTCTGCAGAAAAGCACTGAGAATCCTCCTGTTCCTTCAGTATCACAGTGATCCAGTGACAGATGTCTGAACATCCATGATGCACTGCAGACAGGAAGTGATCACAGCTGATTCGGCTGCTGAGTTCACCTGTACCAGGTGTGAGGTCAGCTCCGGTTAAACAGAGCATGTGTTGTCAGAACACGAAGGAAATCCATGTCCACACGTCCAAATGACGTCATCAGTGTTTTTATTTACAGTGGGTACAGAAAGTATTCAGACCCCTTTAAATTTGTCACTCTTTGTTTCATTGCAGCCATTTGCTAAAATCTAAAAAGTTCATTTTATTCCTCATTAATGTCACTCAGCATCCTGACAGAAAAAAACAGAAATGTAGAACTTTTTGCAAATTTATTAAAAAAGAAAAACTGAAATATCACATGGTCATAAGTATTCAGACCCTTTGCTGTGACACTCATATTTAACTCACATGCTGTCCATTTCTTCTGATCCTCCTTGAGATGGTTCTACTCCTTCATTGGAGTCCAGCTGTGTTTAATTAAACTGATTGGACTTGATTAGGAAAGGCACACACCTGTCTATATAAGACCTCACAGCTCACAGTGCATGTCAGAGCAAATGAGAATCATGAGGTCGAAGGAACTGCCCAAGGAGCTCAGAGACAGAATTGTGGCAAGGCACAGATCTGGCCAAGGTTAAAAGAATTTCTGCAGCACTCAAGGTTCCTAAGAAAACAGTGGCCTCCATAATCCTTAAATGGAAGAAGTTTGGGACGACCAGAACTCTTCCTAGACCTGGCCGTCCAGCCAAACTGAGCAATGGTGGGAGAAGAGCCTTGGTGAGAGAGGTAAAGAAGAACCCAAAGATCACTGTGGCTGAGCTCCAGAGATGCAGTAGGGAGATGGGAGAAAGTTCCACAAAGTCACTGCAGCCCTCCACTAGTCGGGGCTTTATGGCAGAGTGGCCCGACAGAAGCCTCTCCTCAGTGCAAGACACATGAAAGCCTGCGTAGAGTTTGCCTAAAAACACATGAAGGACTCCCACACTATGAGAAATAAGATTAAAGTGTGAAAAACTTGTTGCATCATTCCCAAGAAGACTCATGGCTGTACCAGCTCCAAAGGTGCTTCTACTCAATACTGAGCAAAGGGTCTGAATACTTATGACCATGTGATATATCAGTTTTTCTTTTTTAATAAATTTGCAAACATTTCTACATTTCTGTATTTTTCTGTCAGGATGCTGAGTGACATTAATGAGAAATAAAATGAACTTTTTTGATTTTAGCAAATGGCTGCAATGAAACAAAGAGTGAAAAATTTAAAGGGGTCTGAATACTTTCCGTACCCACTGTAAATGCACCTGATTGGAAGACCTGCAGTGCCTCTGACACCAGGCTCCGCCCCCTTCACCTATCACCTGCTTTCTTATCCTTACACACTCATTCATAAACTCCTCCCTGGGTCACATGATCAGCAGGAGCGAGCTCTGAAACAGAGTCAGACAGAGAAGCAGAAAACAACAAGGGGTGGGAGGGTGAGGGACTCAGGCACACTCTCCTGACCTGGTTCTGAAGAATCGGGGTTGGTCGTTCACCTCGGACCTGCAGTTTGTGCAAATGAATGATTTCAACATATCTTATGACACAGGTGACACGTCCTGAACCGGGACAACTGAGCTCACTCACCTCAGACTGATCCTTCAGATCCACAGCTGTCTTCACACACGGACATGTTTATAATGTTAATGTATGGAATGACAAAGTGAGAACAGTGTTTAAAGTCCAGGAGACTGATGAACCGACAGTTTTCAGCCTCTGCAGCTGGAGAACACAGGGGAGCATTTAGCAGCTAAAGAAGAGCTGGTGACCAAACACAGAGATAAAGGAGAGAGATAACACTGTTCTTACATAGAGCTGCAACCAACAGTTATTTACTGATTATTCATGTAGCCACCAAGCATCAACCTCCAGACTGAAACATGAAGCTTCAACATGAAGATCCAGAAGCTGCAGTTCCTCTAACGACCACTAGAGTCTGGCTCCAACAGTGAGTCAGTCCCCATAGACTCCCATGTTAAAATGTCCAACTTTACAGCAGAAATCAACATGTTTACAGCCTGGTACAGAAACTGTTTTGGTCTCTAGAGATAATTTCCTCCTTCATGACACCTGTTTATATAACTCACCTGTTTATATAACTCACCTGTTATTAGCTGGGAGTGGACTAAAGTTATGGAGGATTGGGGCGTGGAAGTTTCAGCTCCACACATGCCCCTCCTCTTTGACCATATTTGGATTAGCTGGGAGTTGGGGGCGGAGTCAGACACTGCCAAGATGGTGACAGCGGTGCAGCTCACTCTGAGCTTCAGAGACAAGACAAAACCTAAAGATAAATAATTTCCTGTCATGTGATGAGATATTATAATATTTTTCATTTTTGCTTAAACAAATAATTGAAACTATAATCAAACATCACAATAGTTGCAGATTCATTTTCTGCTGATCAGCTAATCAATTAATAAATTGATTATTACAGTTCTCGACTTACACTCCTACAGATGAATGATCATGTTGCTCTGTAGCTGCTGCTGTTTGATAACAAACTCAACAGATCAGAAATATCACAACAATCACTCAGGTTTAAACAATTAACTTCAATTTATTTAATTAAAATCTGAATTTAAAAATCTGTGATTTACATTAAATTTCCTACATTTTTAAAATGTGTCTCAAGACTTCATGTGATGAATTTAAGAAAATCAAAAAAAAAAAAAGAAGGAAGTCACCAGTGAAAGTTTCATTTAGACGCCACTGTGAATAGTTTGATCCACAAAATGAAAACTAATGACGTCTTCTTTACTCGGACTAACAAAACCCAGAAATGTTCAAACACAAAACAACAAGAAAAGAAGATTTATCTGCAACTTATTTGACTGAAACTTTTCACTGATGATCAAAAGAAGTGGAGAGTAGAAAATAGATTCATGTGTTTTTTTATGCTCATCAACAGAAAACGACTCTTTAATTAATTTCTGTAACTGAGATTTTTATATGAGACACTTTTACAGAAACCACATTAAATCTATTTTGGGTTTAAAAGGATGAATATTGTTCATGTGACCTTTTTAATTTGAGGCAGACATAAAAATCTTCAGCTAGCAGCTAGCTCCCTCCTGAAGTTAACGCAACAAAAGCCGTCAAAGGTCAGAAAAACACTCAGCAGGTGGATGTGGAAATCTCCCTGGACTCTCTGGTTTCTGGGTGTAAGCAAATACAAACAGCTTGTGCTGAAATCCCCATTCATGAACTGAGCGGCTGCTGTTGCACCATGTGACGGCAGCAGCAGACTTTGGCTGCAGCTCTGACTTCATGATGGTTGAATACTAACAGGAACAGGAAACAGCAGCGCGAGGCTCTGATGTCCCTGTAGTTTCATTTTCTCCTGTGAAAATCCAGTAAATCTGTCGCCTACACCAGAAGCCGAATCAGGGCCCATCCCCCATCCCCCAACGAGAGCGAGAGGGGGATAGTTAGTTGGTTTGTTAGTATCATGGATGGATCACTGCATCATCATCAAAACGCTCTGTATGAAGTAGCTGCTGTTTTCTCACAGAGACGCAGAACGAACACAGACACAAAAACCACAAAAAGATGAAATTACTACAAATAAAAGCAAACTGACGACAGGAAAACATGAAACTGGATTTTCTTGGATGCTGATTTGATAAAATATAATAAAACTTCCCCCTCTCTCCCTCTCTCTCTCCCTCTCTCCCTCTCTCTCTCTCTCTCTCTCTCTGCAGGTTCGTCACTGATGCGACCGTCTCTCTGTTTGTTGCCGTTCTGTTGTTCGTTCTTCCCTCTGAGCCGCCGCTGTACCTCTGCTGCTGGAGGAGCTCTGACACAGGTAACACACACACACACACAGCAGACAACATGGATGTGTGTGTGTGTGTATGTGTGTGTAATTTTTTTAACTTTTTTTCTTTTTATCAATCAGACTCCCAGTTGTCACGAGGCCCCGCCCCTCCCCTGCTCACCTGGCAGGTGACTCAGAAGAAGATGCCGTGGAACATCGTCCTGCTGCTGGGAGGAGGCTTCGCTCTGGCCAAGGGCAGCGAGGTGAGTTGTTGTTTCAGAGCTGCATGACGGTTAGCACATGTGATCTCATGTCTGACGCGTGTGTGTGTGTGTGTGTGTGTGTGTGTGTGTGTGTGTGTGTGTGTGTGTGTGTCCTCAGGAGTCCGGTCTGTCCCGCTGGCTCGGCACTCAGATGACACCGCTCCACTCCATCCCTCCCTGGGCCATCGCCGTCGTCCTCTGCCTTCTTGTCGCCACCTTCACCGAGTGTGCCAGCAACGTCGCCACGGCAACACTCTTCCTGCCCATCCTGGCCTCCATGGTAACACACACACAGCAGTGTCCATGCACACACAACAAGATAGAGAACATTCTCACTATAACAGTTGGTCATCGTCAGCGTACAGTCGGAGTAAAAGAGGGCGGAGTCAGTGGTGCTGCACTTCTTGCAAATGTTTCACATTAAAAGTCCACTAAAATGTGAGCCACTGGAAGAGTTTTAATGTGAAACATCTTCACAGGAAGTTGAGTTTCAGTAACAACAGAGAAAAAAAACAGCAAAGTAGAATTAAATGAATTAAACAGTAGAAGTGTTAAAACGAGGAACTGAGAGCTGCAGTTCTCTCTGGTTTCTGATGATGTGTGTGAACGCTGGCTCTGCTGCCCCCTGGTGGTCAAACTAATCTTGTCACGCAGGTTTAAACTTGATAATAAAGGTTAAAACAGTTGAATTGATTGTTCTGTATTGATATGTTTTCTGTGTGTGTCCTGACACAGTCTCAGTCGATGAGCTTGAATCCTCTGTACGTGATGATCCCCTGCACCCTCAGCGCCTCCTTCGCCTTCATGCTGCCAGTGGCCACGCCCCCCAACGCCATCGTCTTCTCCTACGGTTTCCTCAAAGTGTCAGACATGGTGAGTTTTGTCAGGACAGAGAAAAAAAGACAACTCAGACCCCCCGGTGAAGTCTTAATAACCCCCCACCCCCCACCCTCTGCGCCCCCCGCAGGCTAAAACAGGCGTGGTGATGAACATCATCGGGATCGGCTGCATCAGTCTGGCCATCAACAGTTGGGGTCGTGTCATGTTTTCTCTGGACTCATTCCCTGAGTGGGCCAACACCACCGCGCCGGTGTAGGGCCGCCTCTGTTTCCTACCGCCTCCTGGACTCTGGATGGTTTTTATATTCACACTGCAGCTTGTGACGGTTCTGAAGCGGCGTCTGGACCTCACCACTGATCAAGAGCGTTTTTCCCAAAAGTTTCAACTCTAGCTGCAGATAGAAGTTCACCGTAGATTCTTAACAGTATTAAAATAATCATTAAATTACTTTGCCATTTCTTTTATCACTGTCAGGAAAAGTCAAGTTAACTCCACTCAGCTCTTAATGCAGGAATTAGAGGAACTGTGTCCTTTGAGCCACAGGAAAGCTTTTAATTTGAAACTATGGAAGATTTACAATTATGTAATTTGTTGTTTTTGTTTTTTTGCAATTTCCATTTCTATAATGTTAATTCTAGCAGTTGTATCTTTAATTTGTCCAATTTAAAGTTGAATTTATAGATTTTTTGTTTGTTTATTTATTTATTTTTTATTTTTTGGCCACACTCATATTATCACATTATAAAGTAGTGTGGCTAACATGTTAGCAAAAGCTGCTAATGTTCATATTTCCTAAGATAAGAACAGAAAATGGATGGTTTTCATTCACTGATTAATTCCCATCACTCATACTTTTCAAGTTAAAAGCCTCCCAGATGTTCTAAGGACCTGATCCTCCCATTCACAGAGGTTTTAAAATTTGAAAGATCTGCAGGAAGTGTTGGGTCTCGCTGAGAGCAGCTTCATAATAATAAAAAAACAGCAAAGTAGAAATTAATTTAAATAATAAGTGACTATAAATAATAAGTGGTTCTCTTCAGCTGAGGAAAATAAAATCTTATGTTGTAGAATTTACTGTTAGCTTAAACCTCAAAAAGGTATAACTGACAAAACAGTTCTTCTTCAGTGGTGTTTTTATTTACGGTTGTTGCTTGGGAAACTGACTCTAGATCAGTGAGCAGACTCCAGCTGGACTTCACTAATCAGGGAACTTTTCTGTCCCGACTCTCATCCCTGCGAATTGGAATTATTTTAAGTGATTAGAAAATACAGTAGATACTGTTTGTTTTTTATTGTTTTCTATTTAAACATATGAGTTTTATTTAGTAACATAGTTTTATGAGGGTGACACATGTACTGTACATACGTAATAGCAGAGTTTTGTATCGTCTTATTGCTAACAGTTTTATTAAAGTTGATCTTTAAAGAAACGTGAGTCAACAATCCTTTGATTATATGAGTGAAGAGTATAGCTAATGAGAGACTTTTATTTTGAATATCAAACCCAGATAAACAAAATATAACCATTAAATGTAAAAAATATGTCATTTTACTGTGATATATAACTATATAGATATAAGAAATATGTGATAGTAAAAATATACAATATAAATATAAATGTATCTGACATCTTGACTTAAAAAAACAAGAAAATCTCCTAAAATAAAAGGTCTAATATTGTTTTCAGTTTCGCCTCTAAACTTCTCACATGCTTTAATTTCAATAACTGTTTGAGGCTCAAAGGTCAAATCATCCAATATTTTTCAGGAAAGTAAGAGAAATTACAAACCAGTTGTATCAGAACTTTATTTTGTCTTCTTCTCGCTCACGTTAATTATCTGATGAGCCTCAAATTTACTTTTTAATTGCATGAATCTGATAACACTCCTGTGCTTTTACTTCGGTGGAATTGTAAATGCAGAATATTTTTGATTGTGTTAACTTCAAGGGACACATTACCATTACAGTCAACTGATTCCTTGTTGATATAAAAATATTGATTAGTGGAGGTTTAACCCTTGGACCACTCAACCACTCATCGCCTCAAATGTATTTAAATTTGTTCTTTAAATGTAATTAAAAACAACTCACACTGGATTAATCATTGCACTTTTTCTCCTCTGTGTCATAGCTACAGGTAACTGTAGGAAATAAAGATCTTAACTTTATTTCTAGTCAGACAGCTCCACCTGTACAGCAGCTGCAGCATTGACACACTGCCAAGTGTCACAATAAAAGACCTGTCCAGGAACGGTTTGTCTCACATGGTTGAATTATTGATGTGTTATGCATCTCTACAGAATATGAATTAACTCTGGATGAATCAAATGAATCACATCGTCTCCAGTGTCAGTCATGCAGCTGGAAATGGGAGAAATGCCTGAGTGAAGTTAATGTTGACACACAGGGTTAATGTCCAGGGACAATGTGATAAACATCCAGCCTGAAGTGTGTTTTAGCAGACTGATGGGAACATGGTGGGACAAATTTCACATGTTTGAAAGTTGATGCAAAGGCAGAAAACCTGGTGTGAAATCGATTACAGCACCACCCTGGTTATTCCCATTACCACATGTTGACCTCAATAAACAAAACAAACTGAGGGATGATACACAACAACTTCCAGAGTGGTCCACAGTCCAGAAATATGTTGATATTCTATATTCACAGATGTCTCCAAAGATCCTGATACCATCACCTGTCTAAGAATAGATCATACAGGCTTTTATTTTATTTTATGCTAATTTTTCCTCTAATTTTATTTTCATTTTACCTGTTTTATTTTTGTTTTATTTCAATTTTTTATCTAATTTTATTTTCATTTTACTTTATTTTATTTTTTTATTTATTTTATATTTTCTTGTTATTTTATTTTATATTATTTTGCATGTATAATTTCCTCCTCCACTCTCCAGTCCAGTAGGTGGCGTTAATGCACCTTTAAGCTTGTTTTCCAACCGCCAATAAACACCAGAGAAGAAGAAGATGATCGCGACTCTCGGCAAAAATGGCGACGCAGTTTTAATGCTGGTGATTAAACATAAACAAAGACCAACGCTCAGAAGTTTGTTGTCCGTGTTTTAGTTTAACGGTCAACGTTATCTTTAATTTCGCGTAAGGACCGTCTCTGTCCGGAGCCGGCGTCATGGAAACAGGTTTGTAGCTGTTGTTTTTAGCCACTAGGCTCGCTAATATTAGCTTGCTAGCATCATTCCTGTATGGAAAGGACAAAACACGGTTAATAAATTAGTCAAATCTTAGTCGGCTTCAGATGATTTAAACAGTTACTGCCGGTTTGAAAATGCCTGAAGGTCTTTTCTTTGCGGATGAGGCCAATTTTTCAATTCGGCAAACAATAATTAGCATTACAACATCATTTAAAATATTAAATTGACAGATTTTTTAATGGAGTCTGGTTAATGCGCTTAGTTCCGCAATGTTTATACAAAGGGATTTATTAGTTACGTACCTTACACATCATGATTTTTCATATGAAAACAACATGTTAATGAAGCCACTGTTAGGCCGATGTTTAGTTGTAGTTGTTGTTGCAGCTGCTGGTTATTTGTCACTAGAACAACAATCCAATTCCAAGCTGCGTTAGAAATGATTCCAGTTTAAGGACTTCCTGATTTACGGACAAAAGGTTTGTGTTTAAGCATCACTCAGGACAATTTCTGAAAAGCTGAGACTGACTTTTCAAATCGGCGCACATTCAATTAACCAGTAAATTTATTTTGTAGTTAAACTGATTCGTGGACAGCTGCCTTTAGTAGTCAGTTGTTAAACATAGCAGCGTTAAATTGCTAGATAATTGCTCAGAGTCTGGTGCTGTGTCTTATCTAAAAGGGCCTGTGTTCTGTGAGAGAAAACGAGATGTGTAGAGTTCATTAAAACGGACAGACTGGAGTGGAACCAGATTAACTGAACATCATTTTTTTTATAGTACTTTCAAAACCTTTTGTCTAAATCTGCCTCCTAACATTTTGTGTGCCAGTCAATTCGCACAGAACCATACTGTGTTCATCATCACGTTATCTAACCGTGAAGCTGTTGTTTTGTGTTTCCTGGTGCAGAGGAACAAGCCAGGAACCGTTTCCAGTCCGAGCTGGAGTTCATCCAGTGTTTGGCCAACCCCAACTACCTGAACTGTGAGTGACAGCAGACAACAGCTCCAGTGTTTCAACATGACGATCAGGAAAGTCTGTCTGTTCAGTTAACTGACCGACCTCTGAGTACATCATTATTTCAGGAAATTATAACAGATTTATTTTCCAACATGAATGTTTCAATCTTTCAAAAACTCACTTATTTTATTTATTTTGTTGGCACCAAAGTGAAGTTCAGTGTAACAATAATAGAATGAGCCTCATAGTAACCCTCATGTGTGATCAGTAAACCCAGAATTAACAGAACCAGGTGAGAACCAGCTTCATGAGACCAGGTATCCAGGGTGTGAGACTCAGTGAGAACAGATCCTCAGAAGCGAGTCGGACTGAGGTGAACCGGCTTCATGAGACTAAACTCCTGTGTTTGTCTGTGCCTCCAGTTTTGGCTCAGAGAGGTTTCCTGAGAGAGAGACCCTTCATTAACTATCTGAAGTACCTGCTGTACTGGAAGGAGCCGGAGTACGCCAAGTTCCTCAAGTAAGACGAAAATGTGTTCTCTGTTGAAGGAGGAACCAACACAGAACGTCTCCCACTGACACGTTCTGTGTGTGGTGGAGAAATACATGCAGAGATTTTTCAGGGATTCATTAAAACGATTCTACACATTGAAAAAATCTCTTGGGAACCTTGTTGTTCTTGATTCCTGAATATATTTCTCCAACAGAGACATTTTAATCGTTGTTACATGTTCTGTTGTTGGTCTGAGCAGATAAAAATAAAACCTCATGTTCATATGAATTAAATATTCAGAGAAACACGACGAAAAAACTTCTGCTGGTGATTTTCTCCATTAATTGTTTGGAAAATGAAAAAAGCTCCTCACCGTTTCCAACAACCTGAGCTGACGTCTCCGAAATGCTGAAAATAAAATCCAAAAACATTCAGTTTAATATCATGTGAGACAAAACAAGCATCCCAATGTAATCTCAGACGCAGCGGATGTTTACATGAAGAGTCAATGAAGTGATGCATCATGGTCTCAGTGGTGACGGGTGGACGTCCCTCTCTCCTCTGCAGGTATCCTCACTGCCTCCACATGCTGGAGCTGCTGCAGTACGAACACTTCAGGAAGGAGCTGGTCAACGCTCAGTGCGCCAAGTTCATCGACGAGCAGCAGCTGCTGCACTGGCAGCACTACTCCAGGAAACGCACCCGGCTGCAGCAGGCGCTGGCCGAGCAGCAGCAGCAGCCGCAGCAGCCGCCGCACGGGAACGCCACCGCCAAGTGATGATGTCACCGGAGGCGGGAGGAGGACTGTGTGTCTGTAGCTGGATCTGGATTCTTGAGGTCGATATGGATGTTTGAAAGAAGTTGGACATCAATATTAAAGCAACAATTTTCTTTTTTTCTTTTTTGTACATAAATAAAACGATGTTAGACAGGAAGTGAGCTGACGGACGTTTTACAGTGAAGACATAAAGTCGTCAGTTCACTCAGGTGGTGACTGATCAGCCGACATCATCAGTGATGACATCAACTCAGGTGATGTACCGGCTAATGACAGAGGAGTCTCCAGTGACACTGAGCCTCAGCAGCAGTAAGGACGTCCACCTGAAACACAGTGACGCGGGCAGAGGAAAGACGAGTCCTGATCCAGGACCGTGTACCACACGGTCCTGGATCAGGAAAGATGTAAAATGTTTATTTGATGAAGCCACAGCTGAAAAACGTGATGTATGAACCTTTTATCATTTCTGTTTATAAAATGTAACATGAGTAAAAAAAGTTTTTGAAAGAAAAATTTCATGTCCTCGGTCGTTATTACTCAGTACAAGGCGAAATCATTTATTCATCCCTCCCTCCTAATTCTGCTACTTATAATTTATTTTTAATACTTAAAAATTGAAGCTTTTATTTCCTCTGATTTCCCTTTTTTGACATATTTAAAACAGAAACTACTAAGTATCAGTGTCCTAACTGGTGCCAACGTTAGTATTATGGCTGTAAATGCAACTTTTAACCTTTTTTAATCTTTTCATTGTGTTTAGTTTTTTAAATATCTTACAAAGGGAGAGGCAGAGTTTCACAGAGCCACACTTAAGGGGAAAAACTAGAATAGGTTCTAAATTTTTTGTTCATATTTATTTCAGCTTTTACTGTAATTATTAAATTGTTTATCTCAGTATTTATGTATGTAATGCATGTATTTTAGTCTTCCACATTTTATTTTTAGTCTTCCATACATTTATTTTGTAAAAAATGTGCCGACATGCTGAAGCAGCATTGGTGGAAGAAGCATTCACTGTGTGTGTGTGTGTGTGTGTGTGCGTGCGTGCGCGAAAAATATTAAGTTGCATAAGATGAAAATACAAGTACCTCAAAATTTTACTGAAGAACAGTGCTTGAGTAAATGTACCAACCTACTTCCGGCCACTATCTATTAGTAATAATTCCACCCAATGCTGTTTTATTAGTGTTAGAATAGAATAAGTGCAGTTTTTGTGTAACTTCTAATTTTATTTTTACTCATTTAAATATGAAGCGATAGGGCTTTTATTGTGAAAGACTGGCGTCGGAAGTGGTGTGGACCGCGAACGTACACACAGAGACAGTAGCGATAGATAGAAAACTTTTGATACAGCGTTTCTCGCCGTTACACCTCTCTCCATAAGTGTGAATGTAACGGTGTTATACTGCGAATCGTTCGGCGATGTTTCCTTGATCTCTGCCGCTAACGGTCTAAACGCAGGAACGGAAGTGGACTGACGGAGATACGGTAACACTTAAGTTATTGATTATTGCTGATTAATCGCACTATTTTGTCTAAAAGTTTGTCTTTTAGTTCAGATACGTAACAAGCTTCATAGCTAGCTAGTTTAAAGAGTTTGTTGTCGTTGTTTCTGGGCATGCGCAGTTTAGGATGGTTAACCGTTCGCCTCGGGGATGATTTAATCAAAATATCGAGTAATAAGATTAATAAATAATTAGAGAGGAAGTTGTTTTTGGATGAATGAGGCTCAGAGTGAAGCTGTTAACCTGCTCCGTGTTTTTAAACAGTTTCTACCTGCATGGTGTTGAGTCTCTCAGCGGGTCAGAGTCCAGACCGGATCCACTGATTAACAGGTGTTCAGTTCACGTCACCTGCTCTGACTACAGGTAAAGTCCTGCCTGTGTACCAGAAAAATGATCCCTGTGACTGAAAAATATCTGTACGTTACCATTTTATATTGGTATTACGTCTGGAGAATTTGATTTGTTGGCCTTGGCGTCTCTGTAGCACCACAACACTGATTATGCTAACAATGCTAATGCTAACAATGAACAACAATGTAACACTTTTACCTTTATCATTAAACTCCAGCTCTGATTTGGATGCTGCACTTGGCCATATTGTGATTTCCATTATGTTTTGATTAATTGTGCAGCTCTAGTCCAAACCTCAAAACGATTAAAAATATAATTAACATAATGTAAATAATTTAAGGAAGAGCAGCAAATTTTCACCTTTGAAAAACTGGAATCATGAAAAAATAAAATAATCAGACTAACAAACAGCAGTCAGATAAACAGAGTGAAGAGCACAGTCTCTCTCTCCCCAGGATGGCGTTGCAGCGGGTGGCGGTTATCGGGGCCGGGGCGGCGGGACTCTGTGCGGCCAGACACATCCTGTCCCGCCCGAACAGCTTCGCCCGCCCGGTGGTGTTCGAGCTCACCGACAACATCGGCGGCACCTGGTGTTACGATGAGCGCGTCGGTAACTATGACAACGGACGACCGGTTCACAGCAGCATGTACAGAGACCTCAGGTATGTTAACACACAGGTGAGTGTGTGTCATCACTCTGCTCACTGATGAACAGAAACTGACTCACAGGTGAGTATGTTGACCTCCTGACCCCGACAGGACCAACCTCCCCAAAGAGGTGATGATGTTCCCTGATTTCCCCTTTGACCCTCAGCTGAGCAGCTTCCTGCCCCATCAGGAGGTGCAGAGGTACCTGGAGAGGTACTGCCACAGCCACAACATCCGCCCTCACATCAGGGTGAGTCGCCCACCCGCTGGTCATATGACCACGCCATCACGCCATCATCAGATCTACATTCAGCAGAGGAAAATAAATCTGTTATTATCTCTTCTTTCTGTCAAACATCTGGATGAATATTGAAGGTGCAGAGTTGAAGCTGGTGTCATGATCCTCTCTGGAGCTGAAACATGAGTCAGTTATTGATTGACAATTATTATTGATCATCAAATAATCGTTTTTCAAGCCTCTCAGATTTGAAGATTTGATGCTTTTCTTGAGATTCATCATCTTCTTCAGCTTTAGGGAATTATAGTGACACCTTTCACTGTTTTCTGGTGTATTATGAAAATAAAATGATATAGAAAATCAATAATCAATAATAAAAAATAATTGTTAATTGAAGCCCTAAATGAACCGAGGCTTCGTGTCAGTTGCCAAACGTTGCAGCTTCTTTTGTCTTATGTGATACATGCTACACGTCTTTGGGTTGTATGACAAAAGCAACATATTTAAAGGAGCTATTTGTAAGTTTTGCTATTGCTGCATCGCTAACGTTAGCATTAGCAGCGGTTTACTGACCAGTGTAGAGGAAACATTGTGAGTTCAGCATCAAACTTCATTCTTTTACTCGCTAACATCTGTCTCCAGAGGCGGAGACAAACACCAGTGTTGACTCTTGTTTAGCTTCTATTTCTATCACTTCCTACTGAAGTTAGCATGCTAACCAGTTTGCATGCTAACCGGTTAGCTGCGGCCCGGTCGCCGCCTCATCACTGTCCTGAAGATGTAGCTGCACAGAGGACAAGTTATAACCTCTTGTCTTGTAAATGAAACAAAGGCTGAAGCTCTCGGCAAGACTGGTCAGTAAACAGCTGTTCATGCTAACATTAGCGGCATAGCAATAGCAAAACTTACAAACAGCTACTTTAAAGACGTCACTTTGTGCTTTAGGAAATGATTGATTATTATTTTACAGTGTCATAAACTAAAAGATTGATTAGATGATGAAGAGTTTGAGCTTTGTTCTTCGTCAGTTCAACACTGCGGTGGAGAACGTGAGGCCTGTCGTCGAGGAGGAGACGACCACGTGGGAGGTGACATCATGTGATTCGTCAGGCGGTCAGAAAACAGAGACCTTTGACTCCGTGTTTGTCTGCTCAGGGTGAGATGGGACAGTTTGTTACTAACACGTTATTTAAGGCACTTCGTCCTGTTGCCACTTGGTGTCACCAAAAGCTTCATTTACCAGGTGAAGTATTTGTTTGTGTTTGTTTCTCAGTCACTACTCTGACCCACACATCCCAGACATACCAGGGGTGGAGAACTTTAAAGGTACAGCCAACATTTATTTGTCTGTTTGTATTGAATAAATAAAAAAGTAGAATTAATAACAAGGAGCTGACTAAAGTAAAGTATAATTTAAAATAGAAAATCCCAGAGGACACAGAGTTGTTGGAGGATGCTAAGCTAGGCTACATGCGTCCTGGACACTGATGTCCCTCCTCTCTCTGTCTGCAGGTGAGGTGCTCCACAGTCACTCGTACAGGTACGCAGAGCCGTTCTCAGGTCAGTCGGTCGTGGTTCTGGGAGCCAAAGCTTCAGGACTGGACATTTCCATTGAACTGGCCAAAGTCGGCGCCCAGGTAACCGACAGTGACGTACAGCACCGCGCTGACGCTTCAGGCACTGAAACCAAAGTCAAGGTGTTTTCAGAACTAAAGCCATGAACGGTTTGCGTCTCTCTCCAGGTAACTCTGAGTCACGGCCGTCCTCGTCTCACCTTCCCTCTTCCCTCTGGGATTCAACAGTCCAGTCCGGTGGTGGCGGTCCAGGACGACGGCAGCGTTCGCTTCCAGGTGACTGAACTCTCCTGAACTGATCTGCACTGACTGAGCCGGTTCAGTCTCTGGAGTTCAAACGGTCTCAGAATTTCTCTCCATGTTAAAATGAAACGCACCTGTTTCAGGACGGGTCTGTGGGCCGGGCCGACGTCCTCATGTTCTGCACCGGGTACAACTTCAGGTATACGTTCCTGGACGCAGATCAGCTGAGTTTGGAGATCCAGGACCACATGGTGTCTCCGCTGTACCGCTTCCTGACGCCACCCGCCTTCCCCTCGCTCTTCTTCATCGGCATCTGCAAGATCATCTGCCCCTTCCCCAACTTCGACTGCCAGGTGAGGAACCAGGTCTCAAGACTCTCACTGTGACGTGTGATCCAGATTCAGCCAGAAAACTTTATTTGTACAGGAAGAAGAAAACAGACAGATACAGGAGAGAGAGGACACGACAAAGGGAAAGATGAAGTTAAAAAGTCAGAGGCAACAACAGGAAACATCCATCTGTTCTGGTTCTTATCCTCAGGTGCTGAAGACCTGGCTCCTCCCACAGCTCAGCATATGTCAAGAGTCAAATGTAAGAATCAGTCCTGTCCAGTGCCAGGGTCAGTTCAGACCTTAGAGACCAAACCTCTGATTGTGTCTGAGTTCATGGCGATCAATGAAGAGGATGAAGCTGATGGAGCCTCAACCAGAGGAATTGATTTATTGATTTCTCTCTATAGATCTGATCACTCCTCTTCAGCTCCTCTGTAGTTCATGACGCTCTGTGGTTTGATGCTTCGGGATCTTTCCAGTCGATTATTTCATGAAATATTTCATGTTGATCGATCAGCTGTGTGAGTGTCAGATGCTCTGACCGTCTGCTGAACACTGTGGTGACGTTTCCATGACAACAACAGGAGGAGTGAGAGCGACAAACTTCTTAAATCTTGTTGTTTAAGACATTCTTTTTCTTCAGGCAACTTTGAGATGTGAACAGGTGTCACAGGCGCTAACGCAGCCAATAAACGGACTCCATGGAAACTGTAGAATATTACTGCTGTAAAATCTCTTTTACTGCTGCAAATACCTTAATGTTTTTCCTTAACTAAGGAAACATGTTGAGAGATTGAGGGGAAATCTTCCTGTGTAGTAGAAGTGTCAGACTTCAGGAGAAAACTGACGGTGTTTTGTGCAGCGCGCCCCAGAGAAACGTTCAGGACCAGACTCAGGTGGATGTTTATGAGCAGGTTGTTCACAGGTTTTGTTCGTAGTGAGATTAAGTTCAGTTCAGACGTCAGGCTGATGAGATCTGAGCTCTGGTCCCGTTTTGTCTCTGAAGGTCCAGTTCGCTCTGGCTGTGTTGGACGGCTCCGTCTCTTTACCGTCTCGGGCCGAGATGGAGGACGAGGTCCGTCGAGAGCTGCAGGAAAAGGTGGAGCGTGGAGTCCAGCGGCGCCACCTGCTGATCATGGAGAAGGATCAGTGGGAGTACTGCCGGACGCTGGCTCACGCCGCCGGCTTCCCGCCGCTGCCTCCTGTCGTACGCAGCCTGTACGAGGAGGTGTGGCGGCAGAGACAGATTCACCCCCAAAGCTACCGGAGCCTCAACTACAGGCTGATCAGTGACACCCAGTGGGAGCTGATCGATTGATCAATGGAGAAAAATTTATGATCAAAATCACAAAATAATAATGATAAACAACAATTTTATAAAGAACTTCAGCTGAACAACCTTCAAACAGGGAGAAAGTCCAGGAAACACAAGTTGATGCAGCTCGTCATCTGAAGGTCAGTCCACCATCTTGGATTTCACCTTTCAGCTCCACTGACTCTGAAAACAATCACCTGCACTCCATCAGTTGGCCGCTGCATGACTGTGGTCCAGACTGAAACATCTCACCAGCCTCTGGATGAGACCTCATGACGTTCATGTTCTCCAGAGGATGAACCTCACAGACGGTGGTGATCCTCTGACTTCTCCTCTGGCGCCACCATCAGGTCACATTTGAACACTTTGGTTTATGATCAACACCTGCAGAACTGCAGCTGTACTGGCAATCCAGAGGTTCTTATTAATGGCTAATAACTGATCTATAAGAGGTTATTAACAATTAATAAATGCATTAATTACAGCTAATAAATGGAGCCTCATTAGGAAGCGGTGCCTGAGACAGAACGTGAAGCTTGTGTTTGAGTTTGGTTGTTGTTTATTAGCCGACAAACAAATCAGCACTAAACTACATCATTAACCCCTGAGGAGACAGACCCATGTGAGTCATAACACTGGTCTCCTCTGAAAGGAAACTTTAAATTCTACAACCAAACAAAGTCACAGAGACACTGACATGAAGAAATTTAAGTTTTTTGTCTGATTTCTGTTTTTTGGCATAAAAAGAGAAAGTCAGGCCTGTAGTTGGAGCTGTGGTGGAGTGTGAACAGTTGCTGAAGTGATGTGAGGATCAGGAGACTAACAGCTTTCTAATAATGTATAAGTTTGTCCAGGTTGTGTGAAGAGTCTGGTGAACACACTTTAATCAGTGCGACCGGGTCACAGAGGAGGGACGTGGACTTTAAAAGGTTAAGGTACGGTGGCCCCGAGAGGTCAAAGCACTGCAGCTGAAGAAAACAACACACAACACAACGGAAGTGTTTCCAGGGGACACAAAAAAATGCTGCACCAGTCCGGGGACATAGCAGTGAACTCTCCTCTGATTGGCTGACTGTTTTCTGAGTGATCAATAAAAATAAAGCAGATTTCAGGTAAAAACACTCAGAGAAACCAAATCCTGCAAGGTTTGGATGGTGGGTCCAGGTGGGCGGGGCTTGGTGACTGCTTAGCTGTGACATCACAAAGTTCCAGAAGTCCTGACGGCTGGTTTTAAGGCTCAGTTTCTGAATACAGGCTGTGTGCATTTCTCTGTGGACTGAGGCTTTGATACTTTCACAGTATTAATATAGAAGCTAGAGCTGATCTATAATCACACTACACATGGACACAGACCTTTACTCTGGAGGCAGGGCCACCGTGCTGAGGAGATATAAAGTCCTGTGCAAAAAGTGCAAACTTGTTAAATAAACATTGATACTTGTGTTAATCTGCATGATTTGAGTTTTGTTGTTTGTAAGTCTTTGGTTGTTTCTCTGTCGAACACTCTGACCTGCAGAGGCAGCGGATGTGTCTCGTCCAGACAAACGAAGGCGATCGCTCGGCTGATTAATCATTTCTGAGTCGTTCACTGGGAGCGAACGGATCCACACGTTAACCATGAACGAGGCCGAGGACACAGACAGCTGATGTCAACAACACACTTTAATCCAGATTACTGCGCCACAAAAAACAAAACGTCAAAATACACCAGTGGAAAAAATGAGGTCTGATATCAGAGACTGACCTGAGCCCGAAAACAACAACAACAACAACAAGGTAACATGAAGCAGCAGCGTCCGTCATGCACAGTGTTGCTCTTTATAAAATACATTCACACACCAGCGCAGGTCACAACCACATATTAATGACACGTTCCAGGATGATTCAGTCCCGTCGTCACTAACGTGACACAAGAACAACAAAGTCAGCAACCTGCTGACCTTCAACAGAACACAGTCAGATTTTATGTCACAGGGTCAAAGGTCACTTCTCTAGTTTCTGCAGAGCAGGAGAAGGTGCGTGTTCACGAGCATTTTTACTTCCTGTCAGGTCGACGTTTGGGGGGAAAAGGTCCCTTCTGTCTTCTGGTGCGATAACAGAAGAGCTTAAAGGATCAGTGGATTCATTAGTTAAAGTAGTTAAATGTTATAAAAGTCGTTTCATATCATTGTAAACTGGATCTTTTTGGACAGAACATTGAGACATTTGAAGACGTCACTTTGGACTCTGAGAATTTTGACTTTATTTTCTATAAAAGATTCAGATCATAATGAAAAATAATCAGCAGAGTAACTGGTAATAAAAATAATCATTGGTTTCTCTTCACTGTGTCCCAGACTCCTCCTACATACAGGAATGAGGAAGTAAATACGACGTAAAGATTAATTGTTTATGAAGCTCACTATGTGGAAGCTGAGGGTTAAGGTTAGTTCACACTCACAAACATTGTTTTATCCTGTTTTCTCGAGATTACGGGATAAAAAAATCTTTTGGAGTTTAGCCTTTCTCGTGTCAAGAACATTTTTATTCTCATCCTGAAGCTCTCACTCTTTCCTCAGGTTCGTTTGTATAAATGTTCGGACCTGTCATAAATCTGTTCTGACATGAGGCTCAGTGTTTTCCTCCTGCAGTGTTTCTTATTATTATATTCTCATTATTATTATTATTTAAACTAGTATGGATGTGGGACACGCTGTGTCTTTAGCAGCCACGACCACAAAAGAATCCACGTCTGGAATCAAATCAAAATCACATTAGATCTGAGCTCTGAGAGTTTGGGGGCAGATGAAGGTGAAGATGCTGCGAACTGCAGGAAATGAATCTGTTGAGGGTAATATGAGGGCAGTCGATTTAAATAAACACTGTCCCCTGTATGAGGCTCCACACATTCACTGAGGGAGCGATGAGGACGCTGTAGTTTGAGTTGGTGCTGGCTGTTCAATACTTATGTTTTGGTCCCGACTGAGAATTAAACTGTTGTTTATTTATTCTTTGATCAAACAGTTCCTGATGGAAACCAAAATTTAGCCAATTTGAAATAATTTTACTTTGAGACATTCTTGCACATATGTGTTTCCATCCACCAGTTCTTATGTGTATTTTAAAGTTTCTAGAAATGTCAGAAATTCAAAAAAGAAAAAGGTTTTTGCACCTTGAGGAAGCGGAAAAAAGTTGGTACATAAGCAAAAGCAAAATGTGACATTACAATGGAAACAGAACTTCAATGATGTTTCCACCGAACAGACGAAAACATCAAAATCATGGTTTTCCATTGTTTGCGCTCCGACTTTTTTAATGTTGCATCATCTTCTTTAGCAATGATTTCCTGGAGATTTACTTTCACCAACCGTTTATCTGAATGTGCCCGGCTCATAATAACTCTTTTCACAGTGGTGGATGGAAACGTGCGTTCATTTGTATTTTCTTTTGCTAACTGAAATTTGTTTAAACATGTTTTGAATTTGGATGGAAACTCAAGTATAAACCTCCAAACACTCTACAAAAAAAATGTTGCTCCTGATGCGTCATCATGTTTGTATTTTACTTAAAAAGAATTTCCTAGAAGATGACCCTGGAAGACTTGGACTCATTCTCCATGTGAACCTGCCTTTCAACCTTCTCTGCCGCCTCCTGGTCGTCCTCTCCCACCCCGTCCTTTTTGAGGATCTTCAGTGGCCACCAGAGGGAGCCGTTCCGGCGTTCTCGGCGGACGCTGTGTTCTACCGGCCAGCAGCAGGGGGCGCCCTTATCCCCTGTCAGGAAGTAGAGGAGGGCGTTGAGCCAGGCATTGCAGGAGGCCAGCGGCCGGGTGACCTTATAGCAGATGGAGACGGTCTTCATGGCGTAACAGCCACCGAGCTGCCCCCGCCGCAGGAGCAGGAAGAGCGTCCGGGTCACGTGGAAAGGCAGGAAGCAGAGTGCAAACAGGAGCGTGATGGTTACGATGGTTTTGATGGATTTCCGCCGCCGCCGGATATAGTGGGAGTACTGCGAGCCAGAGATGGAGACTGAGGTTCTTTCCCGCTCTCTAACTCCCTCTGATGCTCCGTCCCCCACCTGACCGTCCTCGCCGCCCTCTATCGAGCTGGGAGGGGAGCGGAGGGTCTGAAAGATTGTCCTGACCACTTGAGAGTAGCACCAGGCAATGATGACGAAGGGCACAAAGAAGCCCAACAGGTGGAGGACGATGCCGTACGGGACGTAGTCGGCAAACTCCTTATCGATGGCGTCGTCCCAGCAGTTCATGTACCCCTCGCCATCCTGTTCCCCAGTCCTGTTCCCACTGTCCCTCGCCCCTCCAGGCCCAGCAACCCCGCCACCTCCTCGCCGGACGTATCCAGTCTGGGCGAACCTGAAGATGGGGCAGGTGAGAATGAAAACCACCACCCACACCAACGCACAGGTCCCCTTCACCACCCGCTTGCTCTCCAGAGTGATGGTCCTCATCGGGTGGCAGATCCCCAGGTACCTGTGGAGGACAACCAGCGGTAAGTTTGAATCCATCGAGTCTAAAGTCACTCGACAGTCGCTGTGTAAAAATGACAATCTGCTTTTTTCTACCTCTGTCTGAAGTTAAGGACACAGTTTTTTAAAAAGATAAGAATTTAGATCTTCCACCGGTTCGTCTGCACATTTCAAATTTGTGTTTTCAAAACCTGAGTGTAAATTAAAAAAGAGTTGAAGTACAATGAAGTTTGAAATATACCAAGTTTGGTTTATCGGTAGAAACAAAATGCAAATCAGTGTCCACCTTTGTTTGGTTTTTTCAGGCACTTCACCTGTTGTAATTTCTGTTTAGGTGTTGACATGAACACTGTGGTAATTATAAGTCTGATATGACATGAATGCACCATTACCCTTAATCCTTTACCCCCAATAGTTTCGGACAACCAACCAAATGGTTTGTGCCACCTAGTGATAAGTGATAGCGTGATTCTCCACTGGGCTGGCGTGTTTCTGTAGCATCCTACCTGTGCACGGAGATGCAGGTGAGGAAGAAGATGGAGCAGTAGAGGTTGAAGTAGAAGAGGAAGCGCACGAGGCGGCACATGAAGTCCCCGAACACCCAGCTGTCCCTCAGCACGTAGCTCGCCACCAGAAAGGGCAGCGACAGGCCGTACATCAGGTCGGTGGTGGCCAGGTTCACCATGTAGATCAGCGAGGTGTTCCAGCGCCGCCCACCACCACCGCTGCTGCCCCCGCCGCCGCAGCAGCCGCCGTGGTGACGGCAGGAGCGCAGCAGCACTACTGAGTTGAGGGTGAGGCTGAAGAGGAAGGTCAGCGAGTAGCAGACGGGCAGGAAGACATACTTGTAGGATTCATCGAAGCTGCAAGAAGACGGGGGGAGGGACGAGGTGGGCAAGGTGCCAGAGGTGTTGGGATGGTTGCTCGCCGCCGCCACCAAACTAATGTCCGGATTGACGTTGGAGCCTTGGCTCAATCTCATGATCAACCTCTGAGGGTTATTCCTGGCAGAGCTGGATCAGTTCAGGTTCCTCTGGCATCGTCTCAGCTCCTTCACCGAACTCAAGTCTTCTCACTCTCTGAGGTTTCCTTCATTTGTCCTTCCTCTATCTATCAATCAATCTATCTATCTATCTACTATCTATCTATCTATCTATCTATCAATCTATCAATCTATCTATCTATCTATCTATCTATCTATCTATCTATCTATCTATCTATCTATCTGATCCATATCTCTGGTGAGAAGAGTTCCTGTGAAAGGGGAAAGAAAACACACAGTCATTGGTTTAGTTTTGCTGATGAAGACTATGTCTCACTCAATTAGCCCCTCAATCATTAACGAAGCTTTCCGGAAACCTCTCTCCATTCATGTAGCCTTTGTGTTCCAGCTGTTGAAGCGTTTGGGTCAGGGTTTAAATTCAAGCCTGTGTTTTGAAACAACAGAGTCAAATCATGTCACAACAACTGTGTTGAGGTACGTTGGCTGTTCAGGACAGTAACAGCTCTTCAATCATACTGAAATCACACGACATGAAACTGGAAAGATCATGTCGTCAGGAGGGAGAAAAGCTTTTCTAATGGACATGACGAATACAGGATCTTCAGGATCTGAAGCGTAGTTTATATTTTAATGATTTAACTCTGTGATAGTGTCACAAAGTAAAAAGTAATGTTGTTTTTTCAACCACAAAAACTAGAACCTTCTGTCAACAGACCACGCAGCTTTCAGCAGTGCAGACTGAAATACCTCAACAGCTACTGGACACACTGCCATGAATGTTTTTCTTCTAAATAACTATTGGTCATATATTTGGGCGGCACGGTGGAACAGTGTTAAGCACTGTTGCCTCACAGTGTTTGTTGTTCTCCTCATACAACAGCTGATCCAGTTAATTGGCTCCAGCCCCCCACACAAACCTAAAGGGATCAGCAGTACGGCTAATGGATGGCTGAATGAATGGATGAATGGGTGAATGAATGAATGAACAGATGAATGAATGAATGAACAGATGAATGAATGGATGAATGAGTTGATCATCAGTGTTTTCCTGCAGCAGCGGTTTCATGGCGATCTCTTGAAGTGTTTCCTGTTCCCGTCCGTCAGGACGACAGAGGTTGATGTAAACAGATCATCTTATATTTGGTTTTGCTGAATCATTATTACCAATATTATCAATATCACCCTGAATTTACTTAATTAGAGACTGAAATCATCAGAAAAAATGTCCAAAACAATCACACTGATATAATAATTTCAACAGATACACAACATTATATTATTATGATCATTTATTGTAATTATTACTTTATAATCAGCTTTGTTTTGAATGCCAATGTTCAACTTCTAACTTAAAGAAACAGAAATACCACCTTAATATTTTGAACAGATGAGTAGATGTGCTTTTACCATTAATGGTAAATCATCAGTTATTATGTGTTAATGGTGTCTGTACTGCACACAAGGTTTTTAGTTTCCCATAGTTCCCAAGTTGACATGTTGTTTTGTCCAACCCAAGACTTTTAGAGACAAACCCTCTCACTGGAGATACACAACTGTTGTTAATTCATTTAAGCACTTCTAATTTCACACATCAAAGAGGACATGAATGCGTCGCAGCTGGATTTGTGTCACGTCCAGTCAGAGCAGTTTGCAGCATTTGAACAGGACAGACTAAATCTGAAGTAAAACTGTCCCTGATCATGAGGAACTGCAGCTCTCAGCCAGTCTGGGTCCAGAGCTTCACGCTCTGAACATCGGTGTGATCTGGATCAGATGGACTGATGTCCTACCTTCAGTCGTCCTCTGAGTCTCGTCTTGTCCTCTGAGTCTCGTCTTGTCCGGTCTCTTCGGCGGAGTTGTGGCTGAGAAGAGTCTGTTTCGGGGCCGAAGGGTCTCTCGGGGCTTCTCCCCTGACCTTCAGCTTCTCTGTAAATAATTAATGAGCGTTCATTCAGTCAGAACTGCAGGAATGAAACTCAATACAGGGACTGCAGAGCAGGAGGAGGCGGCGCTCGCAGTGCAGCTCCGAGCTGTTGACCTCATGGGACGCTCTGGCTCTTTATAGCAACTGAGGTTTTAAATGATGAAATGTTCTTCAATATTATTATCAAGATTTCAATTCTTCTCTCAGATGCTGAAACATTCATCTCAAGATAATTACATGGTGATTTTATATTGCTGTTTGTACTGTCGATACAAACTGTTGTAACTGTGTTGAAGTGTCTCATATCGTCCCTGTTAAAAGACTAAATCACTGACCTCAGTTCTGACAGAATAATCATGAGCTCGAAAAAACAACATGTTATTAATCTGCAACTGGTTTTTACCAGAAAACAAAAATATTAAAGAGAAAGAAAATGTTACGTAGCATTAATGATTAAAGATGATCAAGAGCAAGAATGACTGAAGCTGATTAACATATCATTAACACATCATAGTTCATGAAACAATAGAAAATGTGTTTTTTGGAATTAACTATATTGTTGAGGTTTTTGAATCATCAATATCCTTACATGTACAGACCTTTAATCAATAGCTGATCAATAGCTAAATCTGTCTAACTGAGATAATAAACCACTCACCTTTTCTTTGGCAGAAGCTGCGGAAGCTTTAAGAGTCTCGCTCTCTCCTCCTCGTCCTGCCTCTCGTTATCTGAGGCTTTAATTAGAAAGCAAAGTGAATACAGTAAACACATCAGCCCCTCCTCCTCTGTTCTCCCTCCTTCACCTCCAACCCTCCTGCTCTGTTCCCTCCATCATCATCATCATCAACTCCGATTCATACGGTAAATACTGATTTTGTCCTCCGACAGTGAACACACAAGTTGGAGAGCCGCATGACAAAGCAGTGCTCGTGTGTTTGAACACGCAGCAGTGTTGAGTATAATCAAACACAGCAACACAATCGCTGGTCAAACAGTGCGCAGGTAGCAGAGGTATGAATCAACACGGTGGGGGTTAGGATGTCAAATTACTCTGACATTTATTCAAAATACTTGCTGCAAATAATGGAAAGAGTTCCTCTTTAAATTGTGAAAAATGTCCATCATTATTTTCCAAAGCCTTTTGTTGTGTGACCAGCTGTCAGAGACTCAAAGACGCTGAAATTTCTGTCAGAGAAAACTACGAAAAGAAGCAAATATTCACATTTAAAAAGCTGCTGCTGGTGGATTTTATTGCTTAAAAGACTTCAGACATGTTGCCAGTTAATTTTCTGTCAAGAAAAAGCCCTCAGGAGTTTAATCTGACCGTGCTGCTTCTAGACGTCCGAATATACGACGACATCGCACATTTTATTGAGGAAATCAAAGTTTTGTTACGTTAGCAAAGTTAAGCTAGCTTACATCTTAGCTATGGTCAAGCTCACTTATTTTTCTTGTGTTTTAACAACAAATATTTACTAAGTATTTCTACAAAACATTACAAACAAAGACTCATGACACAGGACTAATGATAGCTAACAGGTTAGCGAACTTTCAATTATTAGTTTTCTGCTGCTTGTTCCCACATGAACTCCTAGCTTTAGCATGACTTTTCCTCATACTTTTTTTCTAGTGTTTTCAGAACTAAAAGAGCTTTAAATAAAACTAAATATTTAAGAAGCTAATACAGGTTAAATAGATACTGATATATAAATAAAATGATTATACTGAGAACACAAAACACAAATACAAAACAGACCTTTTGCGTCTCAAAATATATTTCAAAATTAATGTTTACATTCACAAATACATTTGTAATTAATTTTACTTACATTTTAAAATACATCTCTAAAGTCACAGTGAAACGAAAAACAATCTGTTCTCTTTGTTCAGGACAAATATTCCTCTTATTATTGTCTGAATGATCCTTCACTTTGTTACACACCACACTGACATAAAGTTTCCAGAGGAAACATCACATTAAGCTTCATTACTTCAACACTCTCATAAAAACGTTTCAGTGTGACTTTAAATATATATATGTGAATAAAAAAGTTAACAAAGACATTGTCCCTTTACAGTACATTGCCCTCCATTAATATGACATTCATTCTTATCACAGATCAATGTGAGAAAATGTGGAAATAATCAGTATCAAAATATAACTTCTTTGTAAGGCACTAGAGGACATTGCTAGTGGTGGTTTATAAAAGCCACATTTTAAATAATGTAAATGTCCTTGGCTGGTGTATAAACCAAAGGTTAATTGCTGCAGTTATATATAAACACATCCTCAAAAATGTTCAGGAGCTTAAAAAAGCAGCGTGGTCTCAAGGTGGAAAACCATGTGGTGACATCATCAGGTTAAAAGAAGAAAACTCAAAACACGGCAGCAATATTTGATGTACGTCATCACATACACTTGGCTATATGAAGTGGATTATTCCCTTGCATTTCTTACAAGTAAACAATAGCATAATTCCTGCCTGTACCTGAAGTGTTTAGCATCAGTTAAAGAGGAATGCCACCAAAATTTCTAAACTCTTTCAATGTTATATGCATTTGTTTAACATCAATATTATAACTTGTAAAGTCATTTAAAAAGGCAGCTCAACGAATGTAATTGCTTCTAAACTTATAGAACAAATGGACGGCCTTGTTCTTGTACCTAATATCAAATATGAACTATTTTCCTTCTTATCTCAGCTACACAGGACTGTCTGAGAGTGGTGCATTAGCTCAGTCATGACAACATATATCTAAACTAAATTTGGTGAAATTCCCCTTTTGTTTATTTGTTCTGTGTTTTTAGGAAAAATAACAACAAAACAAAAAGGTATCAGTTGTCTTGCTACAAATGCTGTATGAGTGTCTGTTCCCTTCTTATAATAACAGGCAAAAGTAATAATGTAAAAAACACAATAAAACTTAAATAACATAAGTTAGAAATCCTGCCCTTTTTTCCGATAGCATTTCACTTTTGTCAAAAAACAGTTTTAGAGAATGAAGGTAAGAAAGTAAAACAATATGGACTTTTCTATTTAGTGGAAACGCTTAAATTAAAAATGATTTCTAAAACTGAGCTCAGTATAAAATTTGATCCCAAAAACTTTTCATTCAGTTGTGGTTCCCCTCAAATCAAAACGTACTCAGACTCACTACTGGAGTTTCTACCTGAGAAATATCACACAATTCAAATGCACAGACGCCACCGTCACATTTCTGTGTCCTACTCTAAAGTTTATAGAAAAACAGCTGTTAAAACTAGATTGTTTGACCAAGTAAAGAAGAAAGATTTTTATCATAAATTCCACTTTTTTTTTGTACATGATTAAAGATTTCATCCTTTTTTCTTCAACAACCCGAGCATTTGTTTCTTGAGTGCATCTTAAAGGCCTTGAAAACCACGTTTTTCTTCCTTTACATTAAATATTTATGACTAAATAAGCAACATTTAAAATTAAAGTTTGTCAAAAAACATCAATACTTATTACTTATTAATCTTAATGCATGAACAACCTGAGCTAATCTGCTTCCTCAGAACTGTGTGAGTGTGGTTTTATCACATTTGATTGACGATGGCCAGTAGAGTATTGCTTAAAGTTTGACTGATGGAAGGAAACACATGTCCTGCCCACTTCAAACAAGTCAGAGGACACTGACATCAATTATCAATTTCTTAAGTAAAACGACAAAAACTGCTCAAACTTGCTCAGAAAATAGTGTTTTCATGTGTTCAACGATCCCATTGTTGATAGTAGAAAGCTGATTGAGAAAATAGGTTTTTGGGGCCTTTAAGATTTACCACTTCACCACACCCTCATCTTTTACAACTAGATTGTTGTTTCAGGTGCTGTCGGTGCAGCGTGTCTTGTAATGATGCTAATGCTTTTGTTTGGGTCCCTAACACACTCCCGGTTTACGCTCTGTCACCTCGTGCATCATGGGAAGCTATCGGATATCAAAAGATCCAAGTGCAGATGCAACCAATGCAAACAAGAGATTGAAATCCAAACCAGTTTGTGTAAATGCATCTGTCTCTCTGAGATGTACGTATGTGATCTTTACTCCGCCCAGGATTAACTAAGTGGGTCAGTGTGGAAGTGAGACACTTGCAGCGTTCGTGCTCTGTGATAATGAAACAGAATTTTGAAGAAACAAATATTGTAATCGATTCTGAAGCATCTGTAAATCCAGACATAAATTATCCTCCGCATATCCAAATCCTTTGATGTTATTCGTAACCATAGTGTCGTCTGCTAATAACCAACGGATGATGGAAACTATATCTAGTTTTCTTCTCTGTAAGAACTGGTCACCCAGAATTACTCTCTTACGTATACTGGCGTCTATTTCCTCTCTCAGCCTCCTCCTTCTATTCCAGATACAATTGCAAAAAAACTGAAAACACAGATCCTGAGTAGCTTAATAGACCGAAGCACTTACACTGCAACACTGGATTAAATGGCTGAGTGCAGTTTAGGAAACATGATGACAGGATCTGTGCTGAAGAGCTGCGTTGTGTTTGTTTCGGCAGGTTCCGAGGTCGGAGATGTTGACGAACGGATTCGGCTTCTCAACAGTCAAACTGAAGTCTTTGTTGATTTGAACCAGTGACGTTCTGTCTGTTGGTGGTTGGTTCTCCTTCTCATCTTCTTGTCAACCTGTCGTCATGTTCCAACTCTCATCCGAACTTTCCTTTGATCGTGTGTTGAAGATTCATCCCGTCGATCACATAACTGCTGTTTGTTTCAATCCTGTGATCCCATGTCAGAGCGACGCTGCACCACTTTTTGGGTTATTTAATTTCCCTCCATGTTGACCGTCCTCTCGTATCTCCCTCATGTTGCTCCAGACGCTGGTGATTTGCCAGTTTTGATAAATTAGCATGTTGGCTAACGTTTTGTTGAAGTAAACGACTCCTGGGATGATGTGGACGAGCAGCCCCACCTGGTCCCAGAGAAAGGTCCTCGTGGACGTGGAGAAAACTCAACAGCTTGGCTGAGTTTGTGCGGACCGTCCGGTCCGTGGTCCTGGTGTTAGGTCAGGTCCTGGACGTCCAGCAGCATGGCGTCCTGCTTCGTCCTCAGCTGGTCTCGTACCAGCAGGTGGGCGACCAGCTCGGAGCTCAGAGCTGGAAGAAAACCAACAAGACAAAAACTCAGGTGTGGTGAAATGACAGGATGTGGTCTGTTATAGACATGGACATGGGGGGGGGGGGGGGGGGGGGGTACTGTACTGCAAAGATACTGTGTGAGGTTCATTAAAGTCAGAGTCAGAACTCACAACTAGCGGTTGGAGCATAAAGAATTACACAATAGGAGCAGATAGTTTTAACGTGTGCGTGCGTGCGCGTGTGTCTGTGTACCATGTACGTCCTGTTGAAGTGATGCTCTCAAGCTGCTGAGCTGCTGCACCGAACGATCCTGCAGCTCCCAACGCTCCAGATGTTTCCGCTTGGCAACACCGCTGCTGCCGACCAGACGCTGCAACACACACACACACACACACACACACACACACACACACACACACACACACACACACACACACACACCACACAAACACACACACACACGGAATCATCTACGGAACACATTTCTCTTGTATTAAAAAGGACTCTGAAAGTCTTAAGTTTTTTCGGTCGAACTCTGGATTTAAGACGTTGGAAGCCTTTTGCGTGTTTTTTCTTGTTTAGTTTCTTTGAGGAAACTGAATTCATACTTTTCATCACCCTGTTATCATCTTCCTCGTTTCATTCCCTGCTCTTCATCCCTCCTTCTGTCCTTCCCTTTACCTCCTTCTCCTTCTGCTCAGCCAGCAGTTTGTCTCTCAGCGTCCTCAGAGCGGTGGCCACTTCCTGTTTCAGCCCAGAGGCGTGGCAACCGTTGCGCCCCGTTCCCATGGAAACCTGATGGAGATGTAAGGTCAGTGGTCAGGTAACGATCCCACGAGCTTTGATCAGAAGAAACAAATACAAACATCTGCGTGACTTTTTCCAAAGGTCCGATATAAATATATAAAGTTTCAGTAACATTCAGTCGGGCTTCCTTCTCTCTGAAGATATTCAGACTTCTGTAAAGTTTCAAGAACATGACACACCTCAGCCGGATGTGGCGGACCGTCGGCTGCACCTCACACAGGAGCAGCGCGGTCAACAGGCGTCAGGCTTATCATCTAGTTGATCTTCTTTGATCTGGTTTAAATCATTTCTGCAGTTTCAGACTCTTTTTATTTTATTTAGACAAACGTCTTGTGCAGCTGTCGCCACAGATTTGTCTTCTTTTGTTTCATAAAAATGTCCAGTTGTCATTTCAAGTGTCTCAGATCAGATAAAGTCCAGATTTATTTACACTCGGTCACGTATCTGCTGCTCGGATCTGAAATCAGCTCAGTCCGTCTTTGTGTTGGGAGATCGGGGTCGGTCCCATCAGGGATCAGATAAATGCTCCTTGAGTTTGATCAGATGTGTAGAAACATCTGGAGAACAACAGCTCGTTGTGTTTACAAGGTAAGAGGTTATAATACGTCTTCAGAACGGAGGCTACAGTGAGCCGCTATCAGAAAGTGAGGAGACGGGACGGAGCTAGCTGGTTAGCATGCTAACATCAGTGGAAGAAAAGACGTGATCGAGACAAGAGTTAACGTTGGTGTTTGTCTCCACCTCTGGAAACAGATGTTGGAGAGTAAAAGAATGACATTTGATGCTGAATTCACGTTTCTTTCAGACTGGTCAGTAAACAGCTGCTAATGCTAACGCTAGCTATGTAGCATTAGCAAAATTTACATATAGCTCCTGTAAAATTATGATTATTATTATTACTGCTCTTGTTATTGTTATTATTATTGTTGCTGTTGATGTTATCGTCATCATTATCATTATTATTATTGATAACTTTACCTATGCTATTGCTATTACTATTTTTACCAAATCAACATATTAACATGTATGCAGCTGTTCCTGGTCTCTCTCTCTCCCACCCCCCACCCTCCTCTCTCAACCCAACCTGTCTGTGTTTCAGCACATTTCAGTCAGCCTTCAACGCCTCTTGTTCAGAGTTGAGGCAACATCTGATCCAGTCACATGTGGAGACAGTAACTGGGCTCAGTCTCTGGTGGTTCAGGTCCAGTGTGGTGGTGTGAAGGTGATTCCCCGCCCCGCTCAGCTCTAATGTAGACAGAGACCTTTCTGTTGGCTCCATCCTCCTCTTCCTCGCTGTCGCTGTTGTTGATGAAGCACAGCTGCAGGTTTCTGTGGTTGTGAAATCTGTAAACAGACAATAAACATCCTGAAGCTCCAGCAGGAGGAGACAGTGACCCTGAACGCCTCACAGTGTTCAGACTGTTTACACTTGAGTCCCTCTTGTTTATTCTTATTCACATTTTTCTGCAGTTTGATGCTGATTTTTATTTTAACTTTTTCTGCAGCATGAAGCAACTTTTCATTCAGTCTGTTCACAGCATCTGCTTCATTTACTCCTGTCACTTCTCAAACTTCTCCAATCTGAAAATATTCTGTATTTTTCCTCTAATTTCCTTTTTAAAAAAATGACTGAATCCATTAATTAATTATTAAAATAATTGTATTTTTTCTCTCTATCAACGAATCGACAGAACAGAACCAGTTGTTCTGAGTTTTACTCTGACTGACCTCCAGTGACCCCAAGCTGCTGCCTTCAAAATAAAACACACATTAAAAAAACATTAGAAGCTTTTAAATGTGCAGACCGTGCGGCTCTGCGTTACCGTGACGTGCCGGCAGCGGCTCGACACCTCCTGAAGTCTTCCTCCTCTTCCTCCCACACGTCTCTCCACACTCCCCCCTGACTCTCCTCCATCCTCACCCCCACCTCCCTCTGCAGGAAGACAGAGAACACAGTGATATTACTCCAAACAGATCTTCTGATAACACACGACGGATTAAACCAGCTGAAGGTTTCTAAAGACGAGAACAAAGGAAATATGTGAAAATCATGTTCAAAGTTTTTCACTAAATCAGTTCAGGATTTCTTCACAGGATGGAGAAATGAATCTTATGGATCAAGATCACAGATCAGACTCATTACCTTCATATTGAGTTTGATTCTAATGTTTCTATTCTGTGATATTTTGGCAGCAAACCCACAAAAGTAAATTCCTTGTATGTGTGAATGTAAATCAGCTGATTGATGCTGATTCTGGTTCTGAACAAAAGCATAGACAGATCTGATCTGAGGTCTGTTTACTGAAGCAAAGGGAGGTTTTCAGACTAAGTTATCATTATGTCACAAATATGCAGCAGTGATCTGCACAGTGTCCATAATGTCAGGGTGGTTGAACTGGGTCGCTCTTCTTATTTCAGCTCCTTGCACCGTGTGAAACCACAAACTGGGTTTCACTCAGAGGATTTACAGACACAACAAACATGTTCTCATCCTTCAGGAATGAAATCTGACGGGGACCAAAATAATGACGAGGTGGCAAAAAGAACCAACAACGACAGTTTCAGGGCTGCAGGAACAAGTCATGAACCCTGACGTGTTGATGTGTTGAACTTGTGATCAAATAGTTTCTTATTTCCACATGAGTCTCTTTGTGGCTGTTTGGTTGTTTTGTCTCTTTGTGGCTGTTTTGTTGTTTTGTCTCTTTGTGGTTGTTTGGTTGTTTTGTCTCTTTGTGGTTGTTTTGTTGCTTTGTCTCTTTGTGGTTGTTTTGTGTCTCTTTGTGGTTGTTTTGTTGCTTTGTCTCTTTGTGGTTGTTTTGTGTCTCTGTGGTTGTTTTGTTGTTTTGTCTCTTTGTGGTTGTTTTGTTGCTTTGTCTCTTTGTGGTTGTCTTGCGTCTCTTTGTGGTCAGATCCCTCCTGAGGCTCCTGCTCATTAAAACCAGTAACAACCGAGCAGGAAAACTCAGATACAAGAAAACAGAAAGCTTTTCATTGTCAACACTCCACCAAGGGAGAAAACACAAAGACTTATGGGAAATGTAGTCTGTCTTTTAAAAAATAATAACCACTAACAGCTCCAGTAAAGAGCACAGCTCGTCTTCATGGCTGACCTTTGCCCTTTCTCTCCTCTCCTGCTCCTGTTTCTCCAACTCAGCTATTCGCTGGCTCAGGTCCTCCCAGTGCATGATGGGAAGGTCCTGGTAGTCCACAGAGGACGCCGCTGCATTGTGATGATGAAGCTCTCTCTCCTCCTCCTCCTCCTCCTCCTTCTCCTCAGCCGTCTCTTTCTCTCCCTCCATCCTCCTCTGCAAATAAACAACAGAAAAATATAAAACAGGAATGAAAAACTTCAAATTAACTTGAATACGTGTTTTAATAAATGAATGATAAATCAACAACCAACTGTCTACAGCTGCTGGAACATTTATAACAAATGTTAAACTTACAGACCCGTTTAGTTTAGACTGTATGAACATGATAAATAGGATTTATAGTTATGAGTGAGTCTCTTCAGGCTCTGTCCCTGTGTGCAGCAGAGACATATTCAGGCTCTTTACTCCAATAACAATGACAACATCACAGTGTAGAAGAGTGGGGCTGCAACTAACAGTACATCATCATCGATCAATCTGCTGATTATTTTCCTGATTCATCGATTCATTGTTTTGTCTGTAAGAAATTAAACATGTTGTAATTGTAATTATTTGATTATCAAAATAGCTGCTGATTAATTTTCTGTCAATCGACTGATGGTTGAAGCTCTAATCAAAAGTAAAATCTTCTCTTAACATGACTTTAATCATATAAAACCATTTCTCTGCATTTTAACAAACCCAACAATCAATTAATATGTGGAGAAAATAATCAGCTGATCAACTGATGATGAAAACAATAATTAGTTGCAGGCCTATATGAACGCTGCAGCCATTTATATATTTTTATACTTATAGCCTACCTGAATAAGATTTCTTAGATCTATCTATCTATCTATCTATCTATCTATCTATCTATCTATCTATCTATCTATCTAATCAGTAGTTTATGGTTCCAGTTTAAACACATTGCGCCTGGTCACAAACTTGTTCCAACTTGGATTAAATCATATTAATCCGGATTAAAATAAAGTCTCTCGGGTCTGTGGAGCTGCGGTGTCCCCGCCGCAGACAGCCCTCCCTGCCCACAGTTGTTTACCAGCAGCGGGGAGACCTCGGAGGGATTTTACCCACCTACCAGTCACATCCAGACGGTCCGGATCTCTCCGACATGTCGCCGTCCGTCGCGCCGCGGCTCCCCTCGGCTCCGCGGGCTTCGCAGTGAGGGCTGACCGCGGCTCGGAGCTGCGGACGTTTTTACAGCGACATTAAAATAAAAGTTGGTGAAAAACAAAAGTGGCCTAAAAGTAGTTTAACACCGTCTGAAGGAAGGCAGGACCTTTCCTTTTCCTCCCCCCCCCTTCCTCACCCCTTCCGCCGTTCCCACTTTAACCTCTTGGCTTCGGCGGAGTGACGGAGGTTTGAGCGGTGAAACGGCACCGAGCGGCCGGTACCGGGGGTTAATACAGTAGCAGTACTTATGAAAGTACCGAGTTTAATATGACAACACGCCAGTAGCTTCACTTTCTGTAACCTGAGGGTGAAGATGTCTCCGAGGCAGAAGTAAAGTTAGACTGACCCGGGGCCGAGACTTTTTTTAAAAAACCCCCCCCCCCCCCCATATATCAGTATTATATATTATTTAATTACATAGTGACTTAGTTGTCATTTACATTTGACTGTTAACAAAGTCAATCAGTTACAAAGAGACACAAAGTGAAGTAGACAAGAATGATAGAGAGACACAGAGACAACAAGGAGATGAAAACCACAGTCTTTCAGTCTGGGGGCTCCGGCCCTCTGTACGAGGGTGGGGGCCTTTTACATGTCTGTGTCCATGTCTCATGATCCGTCCCTGGCTGTAGGACATGTGGAGTTACAAACTAGCTGTTATTTACTGAGATTATTTCATCTGAGAATACGTAAAAATGTTTATTTAATGTTCATTTAACACCTTTTTACTCATTTAATAACTGTGACTTCTTTAGAAGTCTGCAGACCCGCCCCCTCCTGAGTAAATGTGCTGGTCACTGCCTCATTTTTCACTCTGGACACACAAATACACATAAACACGACCTGCTGTGGTTCTTTAAAGTGTCCCTGTGAAACCTGGTCTCTGTTCACAGAAGAGTGTGACGGTAAAAACTGAAACAAGCGTCTTTCTGAAAATAGAACATGTTTTTAAAATCCATATCTCTGTGTTTGTTTGTGTGTGACTGGTTCGGGTCCGCAGTCGCTCTCTGTTTGGGGAAACTGGTCTGCGTGGAGGCAGTGAAGGGGTTAAAGGCCGAGCCTCCCGGTGTCCTGTTTCACCATTTTTTGGAGATGACGACTCAAAGCAGATGGAGGATTTGGGGGATTCACGTCAACAAAGGAAACATCACAGCATTCCAACAATATTCCAACAATATTCCCATAATATTCCCATTATATAACAGCCTCAACTTTACTGTTTGCTTCTGTTTCCTATGAAGTTCTTTGAACATTCTGTTGGGAGTTCTTGTGTTTGTGGTATTTCCTATAATAGTGGGAGGTTTATTTATACTACAGCTACAACAGTGGAGCAATTAATTGATGAGGCGATTGACAGAAAATTAATCTGAAACATATTTATCATAATTGGTTAATTGTTACATTTTCAAGTAAATAGTGATAAATATTGACTTTGCATCTTTTCTTCTTTTATGATGGATTAAATTACCAATGTGTTAATGGAAAAATAAATTAAAAAAACTTGAACTTATTAGTTAGTTGCAGACCTAATACTCTACCCTTTCTCTATTTGTGTGTCTTTGTGGTTGTTTTGACTCGTTTTATGTCCCTTTGTAGCTCTTTGATTGATTAACAGTCACTTCAAACAGAGGAACAGGTAATTGATTCATGTGTCTACTACTACTACTAAAACTCCTTTATGAAATTTTATGTATGCATTTTGTACCAGAATATACCTCAATAAACCCAACTGAAAAACAATTAAAGAAAATAATATATATATTGTATAATAAAAATATAACAAAGTTATATGTTATAATCATAATAAAACCACAGAGGTACATTGATTCCCTGCAGTAGAATGAAATAAATTAAACTAAATTCCCTGTAAAATAAAAAAAAAGTTGCTGCTTCACTTTCTCACTGCTCAGGCTGCTCAGTCTTTATACTGTAGTTCTCTCTGCGACCAGACGTTGGCGCTGTTTTCCCAGTTGGTGAACTACCTCTATTTGGTGAAGGACTATGTTGTAAAAATCTTTTAAACTGTTAATTTTCAGTGACTCCGAGCCTCCCCTGGAGGCCTGCTCGGTGAGTTTCGGGACCGTGTGACCGACCCTCCTTGAGGACGGTGGCCGGCCCGGGTTGGACCGTGTCGGACAGCTGTTCAGCGGTTTTCTGATCTCTTGACTGGAGGTTTTACTGCAAACCAAGTTAGCTCAACAGCTAATCCTAAAAGTCACGTCACCTGTGCGGACTCCAATTAAAAGTTTCGCCGTAGAGCCGGGACAGCCGGGTGAGTTTTAACTGTGTGCAGTTACAAAACTTTGTGTCGAGTGTTTTTTCGCGGGTTTCGTATTTTAACTCGCTTTCACGCAGCCATTAAATTTGGGTAGAGACAGCAGCGAGTGTCGCGCAGCTGCGGATCTTAAATGTCGGTCAGACTCTCAGTCACAGTCGGATAAGGTCTTTTTTCGGAGGGAAATGCGGTAGAAAGCGGACAGCTTCGGTGTTCAGCCCGCTGACTAGGCGACTCTGGGTTTGCTGGTCGTGAGGCCTGCGGGTCGGGCTTCCACCGGGCTTGAGTAGAGCCCGACGCCGCCGTCAGAGGTTCGGAGGCCGGCTGCTGACGCTGCCGCCTTCGGGCCTGCGAACCAAGGTATGGAACGGATGGAGGTGGACCAGTGCGCAGGCGCAGCTGGCGGGACAGGAGGCGGGGCACTCCGCAGGTCGAACAGCGCCCCCATGATCACCAGTGTCAGGTCAGTGGTATTACACCCACATGTGCAGCAGCGAATTCCATTAAAAAAACATTCATATATATTTCCCTTGTTTACAGAACTACCCACATCTCATTAAAGGCATTTTATTAATGCACAGGACTCACCCTTTAATTCAGCAGACTTTTAATACACCAGCAGTAATTACTAAAATAAAATCTAAACCTAAACTTTTGTTTGGCCTGATTTTCCATAGACTCAACAATAAATAGGTACATGTGTTGTACAGCTGTATACAAAAGTGAGGACAAATTACATTTTGTGTTGATTTCTGAAGTGAAAATAAGTAAATAAAGCCTAGTTATTAGTAGTTGTTTTGCATATTTCTCAAGTCAATGAAATAAAAAGTAACAGTACATCAATATTTGATGGAAAGCTCATTTTAATGTGTTTGTTTTCACTTTGAAAATCAACAAAATATGTGATATACCCAGAGGTGAAAAATCTGACTTAATTGATTAGTCTATCAAAAGAAATTTAATGAACAACTAATTTCATAAGTGGATAATGGGTTTTTAAATGTCAAATATTTGCTGTTTGCAGCTTCTCAAATGTGAAAATTTGATCCTTTTGTTTTTCACATATAATTGTAAACTGAATATATTTGGATTTTTGGACTGTTGACAAAACGTGACATTTGAAGATGTCAAACGGGCATTTTTAACTATTTACTGTCAATTTATGAACAGAAGGATTGATTGATTGATTGATTGATTAATTGATAATGAGACAATCATTAGTTGCTGCGTTAGAGGGAGCCATACAGTACATAGTGTTAATCCTGTGTAAGACATTTTCTTATTGCCCAGGAGCCTCGCTTTAATTCACGGCCCCCCCGCAAGCAAGTTGGCATTTGTGCTGTCAAATGGTGAAATGGTAAAGTGTGTGTGTGTGTGTGTGTGTGTGTGTGTGTGTGTGTGTGTGTGTGTGTGTGTGTGGCGCTGTCCATAGTGCTGAACCAGAGCGAAGGAGATCAATAAACAGACAGAACCCTAACCCTTAGTTTGGAGAACAGTGTTTTTGACGAACAATGGTCAAGGTCATAAGATCAAATCTAAACTTCAGAAATATTCTCTCTCCGCTCTTTAGTGTTAAAATACATTAAGCTTGTGATTTTGTGACTGAGGTTGTTTTCGGAGGTTTGGGGCTCAGATGAAACAAGCTGTCACCACCAATCGATTAGTTGATTGGCAGAAAAATTATCTGCAAATATTTCATAATCAATTAATCATTTGAGCCATTTGTGGGACATTTAGTGAGATTTCATAGATCAAATAATCGATTAAGTGAGAAAATAATCAGAAGGTTAATTGATAATTTGAAAATGATTTTTAAATTGTGTTCAGCTCTGTAAGTCCTCTCTCTCTCTCTCTCTCTCTCTCTCTCTCTGTATCTATATGAATGTGTTGTCACTGTCTCTCTCTCAGTGATGGGATGACGGTCTTCAGTCCTGTGTCCTCGGCTCGATACAGACGCAGCAGTGTGTCCATCAACCCCAGCTGCCCTTCACAGGTCGGTGTGTTTGTAGCTCGAGCTGCGACTCTTTACGTTCACCTGACGTCGATCTCACGTCGGAACAAACTGAAGCGAGCGATGTCGGATTCACAAAGACGGCAGCAGATGCGTTTCTTATCTTTGTCTTTGTCTCTCAACAAAACCAGAGAAATAATGTAGAAAGAAAAGCTTGTGAGTCGATAAATCTTCTCCGCTCAGATCAGTCTGTCAGCTGCTCTCCCCACGCAGCGTGACGGGGGCAGGAGGTTTAAAAATCCCTCCTACGGTGTTTTTCCAGCGTTCGCTCATGTGAACTCCATATAAAACTCTTCACTTCAACACGTGAGCTAATGAGAATAATAAGAGGACAGCAGCTCGGCTTGTCACTGGTTTTAACAGACGACATCACCTCAATCCTCCCTTCCCTCCACTGGCTCCCTGTCTGTTAAAGAATTGATTTTAAGATTTCACTGATCACACAGAATTATTATCCCTGTACGACCTCTATTCTTCCTCTAATTGTCTTTATTTATATTGAATTATATTGTTTGTTCCTCACCTGCTTTTGACATCATTGCTTTTGTACACTTTGCATTTAAAGGTGCTTTATAAATAAAGTTGTTATTATACTGTGATGAGACATGGACAGGTGTATACAGGTGTTTGAGAAACAGGAAGTGAGTGTAGTTTGTCTGCAGCAGCAGTGATTATAAACGTTAAGTGGTCAATGACTCTGACGAGCTGCTCGTCCTGGTTCGGTTTCTCTCGTCATTCTGACGTCAGTCGTTTCTTTTTCTTCTCGTCTCCCAGCTCGTCCCTCTCTCTCCCTTCTCTCTGACCGGAGACAGACTGGACCAGAAGAGGCAGGTGAGGACAAACGGAGGACGGACGTCTTCCTCCTCCACCACATTTCTCTCCTCTGTTCATTCACACCAACACAAACACTGTCTTTGTCCTGACGTCTGAACAGACTCACAGGCTCCTTCAACACTGAACCATCGTGTTTAACATGTTAAATTATGTTACTACAACTTTAAATTAACATTAAAACCTCCATCCTCTTCTTCTTTGTGTATTTGCATAAAGTCGATAAAACGACTCGAACAATGAGACACAATAGGAAGAATATGATATTTAAGATTCAGACATTTGAAGTTTGAATCTTTTGTTTTTTTAATTCATTAATAAATGTCTCAATCAGAGAATTTACAACAACAGTTTTTATTTGGACTTTAATTTGAAAGGGAAGAGAGTCAGTAGATGAGGTCAAAGGTCAAGTTCCAGATCGAATTCACACCACAACACTTGTGTGGTTCATTCACACCAAAATTCACTTCCTGCTCATGAAACCTCGAGGCTTGAGAGAGGGGGCGGGGCTTACAGGTAAAGTAAAACACAGTGTGAGTAGATTTCACCAGGTGTGACGGCACCGTCAGGATCCGAGTCCTGCACCGTTCCACTTCTGCAAACCCACAAAGCATGGAGGCTAATAACAGCTGTTTGTGTTGGACACAGGAGGAGAACATGGAGATGACGCTCAGAGGAAGTCTGCAGAGACTCAGGTACAGGACCTGCCCCACCCTTCTCCACCTCCACCTCTCTGGAGTTTAGAACAGGTGTCATTAACTCTCTCTCTCTCGCTCCCAGTGCTTCCAGTCTGATCCCAGTTCCTCCAGTCAGTCAGTGGCACGACCACACATCAGTGGTGAGCTTCTCTTTACTACTTGGCTCTTATTTTGTCGGTTTTCGGACTGAATTCATATCAGAGGGTTTAGACTGATTCTTCTGTTTCCTCCTTTTCTTCTTCAGTGGTTTCAGTCGCAGGACAGCGGTGTCACGCCCAACTCCTCCCCCAGTCCCACCAGGAGGTTCAGGTACTCGCACAGAAACCTGGTCATGGTTTTAATCTGGATTTAGTGGCAGCTGCTTGTTTCTCACATGTTCTCTGTCCGACAGACCAGCAGTCAGCGCCACTGTGAGGTGGCCGGCGTTAACTCCACTCAAGAGGAAAGGTAATCAACCTCCGGGGTTTTATGTGGCGTTTAATTTGTCTCAAAAGTTGCGCTCTTAAAAACTGCGAGCGTTGGCGTGATGCGAGCGCACTGAACAGATCCAGAAGCGGGAAACTTCCTCATGAGGGAACAACCCTGCTCCACGACCACGGAGCCGTGACGAGCGAGTGTTGAACGTTGACTTTTGAGACTTTGGAGGCGGAGCCAGTGGCTGATGTCTCCACTCCTTTGATTGGTCATGCATGAGCCCTACAGTCTGCGGCCAGTCTCTCACCCTGTGACGCCGTCTGTGGCGAAGAAAATGTCTTTTTCTTTTCTTCCCCTCCTTCTCTTTCTTCTTCTACTTCTTCTTCTCCGTATTCCTCTTCCTTTTTATCTTCTTCTTCTGGCTCCGCCTCTAAAGTCTCAAAAGCCAAAGTGACGATCAGGTGTTTTTGATGATGCGAGCGCTCGGCGGCTCCATGCTCTCGGGTTTCCCGCTCGCGGATCAGTTCAGTGCACTCGCATCATGTGAGCGTGCGTCTTTGAAGACTAATATAAATGTATAAATCTGTGAACCTTGGTCCGTCAGGTGGGGTGGAGTCTGACGGACCCCCAAAGAAGCTTTTTGTTGCCGGGGTAACGGATCCCGCCCACCGCAGCAGCTACACAGTCAGGTGAGGATCAGCTGAGACACAAAGTCGTATCAGTCTCAACCAATAAATGAAAAGTCATGAATGAAGCTTGTCTCTCTCTCACCCCCCCCCCCCACAGTGCTCTCAGTCTACAGCAGACTCTCCACCAGCAGGAGGCGTCAGTCCTCAGTTCCAGTCCTCTGTCCCTCTCTCCTCCCCCCACCTTCACCCCCTCAGCTCCCACCAGCACCCTGGACACTAACCCCCCCCCCCCCACACCCACCCCACCTCAGCCAGACTCCGGACCCTGTCACTGTGGGTGCAGACCGCCCACCAGCATCTCCAGAGACCCAAAAACCTGGAGGAACTTCGACCCTCGTTGCACCTTATTTCTGTTTGAAGCGTCACCGTCAGTCCCTTTACTTCCTGTGAGCATGTGATGGACAGAAGAATCACAGGAGACGAAGACGTTTCTTCCTGATCTCTCAGCAGGTTTAGGTTTTGGATACTTGGATATTTGTTTGCATCAGCTATTCCATATGACCGGTCAGTCGCTCCTCAGTTAATCCCACTTCAGTCCATGTTGCTCAGCTGGGCAGAAAGTCTCTTTAGCAGAACTGAGGGTCACAGCATGAACCCAGTCCTCCTCCTCAAATCAAACTTCATCAGCGCCATCACCACAAAAAACCGTCTGGGGAAACATTGAGAGAAGCAGCGGACACACCGGTTGTGTCGTTGCGCACATTCGCACAGAGAGAGAGAAGCGTGAACATCAGACGAGCTAAAACATAGTTGTTATCCACGTCGACTGATGCAGCGAACGAGGATAAAAGAACAAAGCACAACCTCTACGTTCAGCTCAGAGGAGCTCGTTCCTCTGAGAACCTGAGATGGCACAATCACGACCGACCCTGAAGGAGCCTGAAATGACACTTGGCTCATTTTGCTGCTTCTTGCACGGATGAAATCTCGCGGATTCGGAAGATCGATCAGTCGATGCTTCTCATGAAGCTCTAGATCCTCTCTGATCAGTTATTCAGTTGTAATCAAAGAAAGAAAGAAATCTGAATCATCTCTCTGAGAAGTAAAAGCTTTTCAGGAACCTTCAGTGTTTCTGTCGACACCCGAGACTCGTCCTGTTTCTATCAGGAAGATGTAAAAATCATCAGATGTATTTAGAGTTATGATTAACATCTGGACTCTGGCAGCACTTCATCAAATCATGGAAGCAGGGTCACCGCTTCATACATCATCACTTCTACCTTCAGACTCCATCATGGACTCTCTGTATGAAACGTCTTCAACAAAAGACTAAATCTACAAAAACCTGAAGAACCAATGAAACACTGTAAAAAAAATCTTTGTCCAAACCCAGAAACCAGTCAGTGACATCACTGAGTGTTTGAGTCCAAACCAGATGTTCTGAGTCAAACCTGAAATTCAGCAGCTGAACATAGTTTCAGTCATTGAAGCCGAAGATTTTTGTGTTTTAATGAAATGTTGTCGTCGTCTGTCGCAGCGGAGTCGCCCGACTGAAGAGTTACTTCAAGAAACTTGACAGACTCAAATACCGGTCAGCAGTTGGTTAAAGTTTGGCCGGCGGTTCTGTCGCAGGATGGGACCAGTTTGATGAACTGGCTCCTGGTCAGCAGCAGAATGAAGAACTGGTGGTCTGCGGCGCCACGTCTGTTTGTTAATAGTGTATCTATATGTGAATATGGAGCAGCTGATTCCTGCTCACTTTTCTTCAGCCTGCAGGGTTTGATTGTACATATTGAACCTGCAGGAAGCAGCTGTGCTCTTCCCTCCTCTTCAGTTTCCTCTCTGAGCGACTTCAGTTTGTTCTCTGTCAAAATCAACCAGAGCGTTCACTTCACGAAGGTCTTCTGATTGGTTGAAGACAGCTCAGTAATAACAAACAATAACAAAACAGGACTACCGCTTCACAGTCACTCACATATGTGTTCTACTTGTTTTGACAAAGGTTTTCGGACCAGAACTGATCTCAGAACCTGGTGTTAACAGCTCTGGACTCTTTTTTCCGCTTCCCCTGAATTTAAGAATTCATCAGTGACAGTCAGAGGTGACATCAGGCTTCGTCCACACGACTGTGTTTTTGTTTTAAAACGCATCTCTCTCACTACGTTTTCGCCTCCGTCCACACGACTCCAGAGTAAAACACACAAAGCAAACGCTGCCGGACCCGTTTTATTTTGAAACCTCGGGGGTTGTGTTTTATTTTGAAAACTCTGGGGTTGTGTTTTATTTTGAAAACTCTGGGGTTGTGTTTTATTTTGAAAACTCTGGGGTTGTGTTGTAGTTTGGACAGAAACAGAGACTTTTGTAATCGATGAGGTCACAGCCACGGTCTCTCCTGATTGGCTGTCATCAGCCTGGACTACCAGTGGTGAATACAACATGATGATGAATGACAGAGTTACTGACCTTGTTGTCTTTGCAGCTGTTGTTCACTGACAGTCTCTGTTTTAATGCTACAACTGTCTCTGCTGGAGACAATCTACTTCCTGTTTTCACCGGCTCGCACATGCTCAGTGTAGGAGCTCGTGTGTGTGTGTGTGTGTGTGTTCTCAGGTATGTTAGTGTGGACGGAGATCGTTTTCGTTTTAAGATAAAAAAAACGCAGTCATGTGGGCGGAGCCTTAGCGCTGGGCAATAATTCAATATCATTAATTAACTTTAATTGTATTGTGACTTTCTACAGACGTCTGTCGACCACAGAGATGACTGTGAGGATTCTGTAGTTGAAATGCACAACAGTGAAACACGTCACTGTTCTGAACATCAGTTTATTTGATGTGATTTTGCACATATCTCCTGTTGTCATGTTGTCATGTTGTCATAGTAACCAGATCACTCGGCCCCTGGTGTTAATGTTTTAATGGCTTCATTCCAAACTGAAGACGTGATCAGGTTTGTGTCGGTTTGCATGGACGTCGTCCATCCTTCACAAATATCACTGAAATAAGCAACAATTCACCGATGTGGATTTCTGACAATATTAATGTACAGTTTTGTTTTGTTTTGTTTCTTTGATGAAATAATTGTAAAGATTCGATACGAGTGCACGAACCGTGACTCCATGAAGCGAAAGGTTTCAGACGAGCTGCGGTTCTGCTTCCAACGTTTGCACTTACACAGTATTGTACAGTTTTGTACTCTCACTCATCGTTGTGCCTAAACGCGTCGTCACGTTCAGGAGCGACAGTCGGGTTGTTTTTTTTTCTTTTCCTCACCATCAGATCTGAGAGACTTCACTTCCCACGCTGACAGGAAGTGCCCCAGTCTTTTCTAATCACCTGACCTGTCACCTGTGAAATATGTTTGTACATAGAGTCTGTAATAAGCTGTTTTTATTGAAGTGTCTTCACCCCCCCCCCCTCCAAAAAAAGCAATGAATTGATGTGAATCAGTGAGAGCGAGTCGCTGCTCATTCCGCTGAGTTCATGTAAAAAATCTTTCCAAATCTTTTCTAGTGACAGATATGACGTTGTATTTTTATTATCAGGACTTTGCACAGTACTCGTTCTATCGCTCTGTGTTACGTGACTGGTCACATGTCGCCATGTGAGAGATGCTCTTTAAGTTTTGCTGCTTTTTTTTTTTTTTTCAGTTTTTCCTGCTTTATTTCTGACTTGTTACGTCTCTGAGGGTCTAACCTGTTTCTGAGAAATACCAGGTCAGTGCGGGTCATTTGGAGTCAGACTTCATGCTCAGATCTATACAGGGCTGAAAATAGAGCTTTAAAATGTTCAGGAACTATCTGACGATTCTGGAGAGAAAGAATAATCCCAGTGTGTTTTAGGTCACTGGATTATTTTTACACTTTCAAGGTTTGATTAATAGTGTCGATACTAAACTTTGTTTTGTATCGACACCTTATGAGAAAAGTAAGAAATAAATAGAAATAAAATATGTGTGTGTGTAGTTTTGTCTCTAAATGTAAAACTGGCGAGATTCAGATTTAAAGGAGGAAACGAGTCACATAAATCAGTAAGATTATGAAGCTAATTGATCAGCAAGATGTCAGTAAATATCGTTATATACCTACGTCAATACAAAGCTTTGATCATTACTGTGATATTAATTAATGTTCATATCGGCTCCCTCTGGTCGACACGTATCAGTTTGTATTTCGTAATTTTACCATCAACATTATCTTTTTTAACACCCAGTGGTTTCCAGAGTTTGACCTGGTGAGAAGCAGGATAGACTTTCCTCAGAGGTAACAACATGCTGCCAAATCCACAGACACAAACTGTAGCTTTAAGTTTGTTTGTAGTGATTTAAACTTTGCACAGTGACTGACCATCGCAGACTGATGTGAGTCTGAACACAGAAGCTGTTTCATGTAGCCGGATCAGACAGTTTTCACTCTGCTGCTCGGACGAGTTTCTGCTTCTATGAATGTTTTTTTAAGCCAAAAATTCTTCATCAAAATGCAAACGTTTCTAAGAAAAATATTCCAGCATCTGTAAAGTTGGAAGATCAGTGTTCATGTGTGTCTCTGTCTTGCCTTGCTCACCTTCATGTCTTTACTGGATCAGTGAATCAGTGAACATCCAGCTATTTTTCTTCTGTATTTACATTTAAATACCAGAAGGAACCAGTTAGTATTTTATTGGGTCCTGATTCATACATTTTAATTATGCTGTTTTATAAAGTTTGACCAAATAATAATCAGCTGCAGGTCCAAATTAGATCCAATCAGATGATAATATCTGACATATAAAATATCAAACATCTGTATGAGTCAATCACTGAACACTGGTTTTAAAAATAATGTAAAAAAAAACAAACAAAACTATCAATTTGGAACTGTATGTTTTTTTTCTTGTATCTTCTGTTTTATGATGAATGAGATGATTTTGTTCAGACTACTTCTCCGACAAAAGCTTTACCCCTGAAATGTCATATTTCATTAGTTTTAACAAACTTTAGCTTAATGTTTTTATATTCAGGCAAAGATGGATCTTTTCTTTCCTCTATGATGAGAAAAGTTTGTTTTCATGAGATATTTGGTAACAAGATAAAATGATAAGAAGAAATGTTTCTTTTGAAAACAGAATAATTTTGTACCAAGAAAATGACACGAACATCTGGTTATGAAAAGAAAATGATTTTTACAAACAACAGAAAAGTTTCTCATTGTAACAAGAAACTGAGCAAATGTTTAATGCGTTTACTTGAGAAAAAAATTCAGTTTTTCTGATATATCAGAAATAATTATTGAATTATTTATCTCATTCAGAAAACAGGATTTTTTTTATAGAAAAAAAAAGAAAATTATAGACTAGAATTTTTTGTTCCTCAAGTGAATGCATTTCATTTCTGTAGTAACGTGTTGACGGATGTTTTATCTTGTTCTTGACAAACGTGGATCAAAGTTGAAAAATGTTGAAGCTTCTGTTGTCGATGTGTT